TATTTTCATCAGTGCAGAGGAAAAATGAAGTGTGACTGAAAGTCTGCAACGTCTCAAACGGAGATAAGTGGTTTCACACTTTGGCTGTCTTAAGTCTCATAGGAAAAGGTGATGATAAAGAACAGACTAATCTCAATTTCCACGTAAGCCCTGCGCTCCGTATAACTCTATACTTTTCAGGTCTCACGTGAAAATAGAGTTTCGTGTCTTTTCAGGTGAGCGACGAATTTTGTCCACAAATATTCTTAGGAAGACAACTTCCACTGCAGCAGTTGGGTGACGAAGCTTCGCAGTTGCGTTTTGTAACGATTAGATAAAGAAATGCGTCTTTGCGGAAAGTTTTCGACGTGAGCAATTTAACAACGGAAGCAAATTACTCACGCAAGTTATTTATCCGCGCTGGCTTTTCACGGACAACCTGCAGCGTTGTCGATTCTTTCGACTTGTGTCATCAATTCCTCGCCCAAACTACGTGTGCACTGCACAGACGCCCAAAATACATTTCTACGTATGTCTTTACAAGACCGCTAGAAAAGTAGCGTATTTTTCCAATGTATACGCTGCCTGAAAATGTTGTATGCGTTAACACTGGTCAAATTCCAATGTATACGGTGCATGAAAATGTTGTATGCATCAACACTGGTCAAATCAAACACCAAGCGAGCAACTATTCGAACTCCGGAGTAGTCATGTGGTATCACGCGGAAATGAAGGAAAATCTTAGCGTTTCTCCTATTTCAAACTACCGACGTTTGTGAATGTGCGTATATGCTCGCATCTTTAAATGCGGCAATCAAACGAGCAACTATTCGAACTCTGGAGTAGTCATGTGGTATCACGCGAAAATGAAGGAAATTATAGATTTTTGCTTGTCTGAAATTACTGAAATAATCTCCTCAATGGTTGAAATTGGACATTTCGTCGTCCTTCTGACGTAGGGGCGTACCTCAATTAATTTCCACGTGAGCTCTGTTTCACTTATAAATCATGCTCTCTGGAGCTCATGCGGAAATCGAGATACGTCCTTACGCTAGAGGAGCGACGATTTATCGATCAGTGGTCTCCGCCTCACGTGCTTTGCGATACATAAATTAATCTGTCATTCAAACCCATGGAAAAGTATCGATTAACAGGGTGTTCGCAACGAACACCTTAATAATCGACTCTTTACCATATAGCTTCCAATTGGGAATCATCGATATTCGATCATTCACGCTCCACCAAAACTGCGAAGATTCATCTTGTTACGCAATTTTCAAATTCGAAACTCCTTCCCTCCCCAAAAGTGTGTGGCTGCGCCATTGACCACATCGTAGAGTATCTCCAGCCACAAAGGAAAAGTTTTTCCCCGAATTTACTTTAGTAAAAGATCCAAACGAAAACCCTCGGGGGCCTCTTGGTCCGGAGTTTTCCCCGTCGAAATCAATTTTTTTCATACCTTTGCAACCGTGTAAAAAATTCGCCTGCGTCAGTTGTTGACGCAAGAGAAATAACCGGTGTAAAATGGAGCAAGTGTAGCACGAAGGAGCCAAGTAAAATTATTCATTCTACCGCGCTAAGGGGAAACGCCGTATTAACATTCAAGAGTTGCCAAATTTCCTTGGATAAAATGTTTATTTTTGAGGAAATATATGAACATTTTTCCCTGAAATTTTCAGGATCTTCAGGTGAAATTGCGAACAAAATTATCTGGAAAATTGGGAGGAAAATATTCACGACTTTACCAAGAAATTCGTGTTTTATCAAAAGAAATTAGACAACGCCTGAAGGTTCATACGGCGTTCTTCCTTAGCACGGCAGCAATGCCAAACTTCATCGAACAGGTTCTTTTTTAACAAGAGAACGGTTGAAGGATTTTCTAGGTAAACATCTGGAATTTTTTTTCCTGTCATGGAGAATATCTTCTAAAATTTTGAGAAAATCTATACTACCATTCAACCGTAAAAAAAAACAAATCACCCGATTACGCACTGCAAAAGCTGTTGTGGCTCATTGGTTTCTATCCACTGAATGCGGTCCAAATAATTTCTCGCACGAATGATTCGCCACTGTTAGTTTTATTTTTCCTAACTCGAATTAAAAATTTGTTTTAACCTAAAATTTGTTTTAACCTAACTCGTTACATTTTTATAACCTTTTACGCAGAATAACTTTTACTCACATCTCCAACACAATAATCGATGCGGCTGAATACATTTACTTACTAACCACGCATACTTGACGACTTAAAATTTAAATTTTTCTGAGTGCTGTAATTGCAGCTAGTTGGTTGATAATGTCGCATCAATTTGTAATTCTAAAAAATTTGTTTCAAAAATCGGATTTTCATCCACCTGTGAAAGTACACTTGCATTGAGTGGATTTGACGATAAGAACACCGGATAAGAATGAGAAAAATGGAATAATGGCTTTATTGATTAAATTAAAACAGAAAAACGCACAGACGTTGAAACTGCAGGAACCCGTTTTTTATTTGCCGTTTAACATGTTTTAAAATTGCTGCACCCATTTTATCCTGTCAAAGGAGAACAAAATAAACACCACTGCTTGAAATTTATTGATAGACTATCCGTCCAAGCGGTCCTCATAGAGCCCTGGTAAAAATTGGCTGTAGAATCTGTGTTCCAAAATACCATAGACCTACAGCCGGCTGTAAGATTTCCAATAGCTTCTATAGCCGGCCACACAATTTCTTATAGCCTTTTATAGCCAATGGCGATTAAGCAACAGCCAGGCGATAAAGTGTGTGCTAAACGTTCCTAATTACGGATGCTAGGACTTAGTGAGTTTTTGGAATACTGCTCTCTTTTTGGGCCGTAGGATCTTGATTTATTTTGCGAGGAAAGCTCCGTACTTTTGATGGATGCCTGCCATTACTAATATATTAGAGCGCCTTCAGTTTCATATGATACTGTGCAATACCTCTGGTGTGAAATAGTTGCTTCAAGCGCCGTGGCAGGCGGGCAGCCAGCGCGAAACACGCATTGGCGCCTACAAACCTACCAGGGATACTTCACGCGTTGCGCAATGCGTGAAGTATCCCTGTTAGGTTTGTAGGTGCCAGTGCGTCGCCGCTCCGCTTTGTGTTAGGCTCTAATATTTAATCTGGCGGAGTCGGTGTTATTCAACTCATGATTTTGAAATGTTTGCACATCCTGTATGGATTATTCTCATTTTAATTGATGAAAAAAAATATGTAATAAAGGAAAATATAATGTGTGTTTTGTAAATATTAAGGTGGTTCCGTATCAAACTTAATGATTTCCAAAGCACACGAATTTCAACACAATTTCTTATAGCCTTTTATAATCGATGGCGAAAAAGCAACAGCCAGGCGATAAAGTGTAAAGCCTGGCGATAGGGACTATAGCCCGGCTGCATAATTTTTTATCGCTTAATTCGTACAGCCCAGCCGTATGATTTTCTCCGCATTCTACAGCCAGCTATATGATTTTCTGTAGCCTTCTTTAGCCGGCTATAAGAATTCCTATGGTATTTTGAAACGCAGCTCTTATCGCCAACTTTTACCAGGGGATCCAATACCAACTAAGAAAGGGGAAAAAAGCGAAATAAAATGAAGAGAGATAAAGTGAAAAATAAAGTGAACAAAAAGTTCACTTTATTTTTCCTGTTAGTTCAGATTGAATATTTTGTTTAATCATTATTTTTCATCTAAATTCCGAATAATTAACCGATTGCAGCTAATTATTCGTATCTTGTCATAGAAACGTGAGAGCTTCGTTCCGTGCAGCCGGTAAGGAGCCGTCCATAAATTTCGGCACCGACCTTGGGAGAGGGGATCTGGAGGTGAATAACACGGAGGCGACAAGAGGGAGGGGAGGGTCAAGCAAAGGTCACGTCGCCACGTCACCGTATCATATTAAGAAAAGGAGTGGATTTTGGACTTTTCCAATGTACTCAAAATTATTTTCGTGTCACTTTAACGAATGATTTAACAACGGTAACGCTCATAGTGTCCTCTTTTAATTTTCATGTTTTGCCAGTTGAAAATGCGGGTGTGACCCCTGCGAAACGTCCCGGGTTTTTTTTATTTTATTTTATGTGTTCCTTTTTATTTTTTGCGGCCTTAGTCCCATTTTAAATTGTTTCTTTGCAAATGATTTAATGTGTATTACAACTGCAACAAAGGTTCGGTACAACCCAACACTTACGCTAAAAAGAGGGAGGGGCCACGCTTGAAATTACGTAAACTTTATAGGGATTTGGTGGTAAGTGACATGTAGGTGACAATAGAGGAGGAAATGGGTGAAAAAGGGTGATGTACAGTGTTCGAAACTTGTGGCCCATCAAGCTCGATTTTTAGGGGCCAATGAAGATTTTTCAGGGGCCACTGAAGATTTTTCAGGGGCCAACTCGATTTTTTGCCTATATATCATGGCGCATTTAGTGAAAAGTTAGAATCCGATGCCGTGCGTCGAAATTTCAAGAAATCACCCAACAGAAAAATCAGGATTTTTTAGGGGATTTTCAAGGGTCACGTTTGCGCAGAGCCTTCATTTTTTAGGCGCCATGACCAATTTCCTAGGCGTGTTGGCGCCTGTGAGTTTCGAACACTGGTGACGTAATTTATGGAACTAACTGCGAAAAATCCCCGAAGTTTCATCCCTGCGATTCGACCCCGGAACAAATCCCACGAAAACATCCCGCAGAGACAACGCCTAGAACTTTACTGCCGTGCTAAGGAAGAATGCCGTGTAAAAATTCGAGAGTTGCCAAATTTCCTCGGATAAAACATGTATTTTTGACGAAATTCATGTATATTTTTCTTCAAAATTTTCAGATATTTTAGATTAAATTGCGAAAAAAATAATCTCGAAAATTGGAAGAAAATTTTTTTAAAATTTTCCCAATAAATTCGTATTTTTTCAGAGGAAATTTGGCAACTCCTGAAAGTTCATACGGCGTTTTTCCTTAGCACGGCAGTTTACTCCCCCCCCCCCTTNTCTTCATAATCAGGACCCTTTTTGAGGATCTCTGGGTTAAGGGCTACGGGGAGCGGAACGGGGGACGGGGGGAGGGGCGGATTGGGGTGCGGGGGTAGGCCAAGGCTGCCTAGGCTTGCCGTAGACCGGTATTTGTTTGTGTGGAATGTCGTCTAAGACTTCGGCTAAACAACAGCAGCAAATACATCTGAGAAAATCCTTCTCGTCATCCTTCAGAAATCCGCCGCCACTGCCTCTAGATTTGTACCTTAGTATTACTCTTTCCTGCCCGTCCGCCGTTCGAACTACCCCCTTCTCGTCCTTCTGTGATTTTCCGAGCTCAGAGTTAGTCCTGCGGATGCTCAGCAAAGGGGGTGGGAGGTGTATGATTTCTTCAGCCGTCTCCGATTGAGAATTCCGTCGTTCCTGTTTCAGGCTCTTCTTTCTGCCGAATGGTCCGCAGCCTTGTTTTGTAGCTCTGGTTTTTAAAGCGTATTCCGGGTCTGGGTCCTCAGGGTAGGTCGGGGACTCCATTGAGGTTTCCTTCACCGTGATGGTTCCTGGTGTCGTAGTCGGCTGAAATCAAGTACAGGGCGATAAAAATATTAAAATAAAATCGAGATTTATTGAAATAAAATTATCTTACCATGAATTTTTTTGTGAGGGTGGTTTCACGATAACTGGAGTAGTTTTGTCGCCGTAACGGACATTGTAAATGGCCGAAAATATGTGCTATCTGTTACGCTATGACTTTTTATCGCGTAACACACAGCACATTTTCGGAATTTACATGATGTTAATTGGGACGTAGAGCAATGAATCATTAGAAAGCGTTAAAATACGGTCATACCGTCATTTTTCGGTTATATTTTTAGCAGTAATGATAATTACTCGAATTTTTTCGCATTAATCTTCAGAAGGATACGTGTTCCCTGGTAAAAATTGGCAGTAGAATGGGTGTTCCAAAATACTATAGACCTACTGCCGGCTGTAAGATTTCCAATAGCTTCTGTAGCCGGCTGTACAATTTGTTATAGCCTTTTATAGTCGATGGCGATCAAGCAACAGCCAGACGATAAAGTTAATACTAAACGTTACTAGATACGGATACTAGGACTTCGTTAGTTTTTGGACTACCGCTTTCTCTTTGCGCCGTAGTATCTCGATTTATTTTGCGAGGAAAGCTCCGTACTTTTGAAGGATGCCTGTCATTCTTAATATGTTGGAGCGCTTTCAATTTCTTATGATACTGTGCAATACCTCTGGTGTGAAATAGTTGCTTCAGACGCCGTGGCACGCTGCGGCGTGACGGGCGGGCAGAGAGCGCGAAACGCGCATTGGCGCCTACAAACCTAATAGGGATACTTCACGCATTGCGCAATGCGTGAAGTATCCCTGTTAGGTTTGTAGGCGCCAGTGCGTCGCCACGCAATGCGTGAAGTATCCCTGTTAGGTTTGTAGGCGGCAATGCGTCGCCGCTCCGGTTTGTGTTAGGCTCTAATATTTAATCTCGCGGAGTCAGCGTTTTTCAACTCATGATTTTGAAATGTTCGCACACTCTGTATGGACCATCTCATTTTAATTGATGAAATAAAATGTGTTTTAAAGGAAAATATAATGTGTGTTTTGTAAATATTAAGGTAGTTCCGTATCAAACTTAATGATTTCCAAAGCACACGAATTTCTACACAATTTCTTATAGCTTTTTATAGCCAATGGCGATAACGTGTAAAGCCCGGCGATAGGAACTATAGCCCGACTGTATACTTTTTTATAGCTTCGTACTGCCCGGCTACATGATTTGCTCCGCTTCCTACAGCCAGCTATATGATTTTCAATAGCCTTCTTTAGTCGGCTATAAAAACTCCTATGGTATTTTGAAACGCAGCTGTATCGCCAATTTTTACCAGGGTTATAACGCTTTCTAAAGATTTGTTGCTCTACTTCTTAATTGATATTATGTAAATTTTGAAAATGTGCTGCCTGTTACGCGGTAAAAAGGCAGCGAAACAGACAGCACATTTTCGGTCATTTATGTATTAAAATTGGAAAGTAGAGCGATAAATCATTGAAAAGCGTTATAACACGTAACCCTGTTTAGATTAATGCAAAAAAAAAAAAAAAAATCGAGTGATTATCATTACTACTAAAAATATGTTGTCTTTTACGGCGACAAAACTATTCCAGTTATCGTGAAACCACCCACATAATTTGGTCAATAAATGCCGTTTTTAAACAATTGAATCTTCCGGTTCGAAAACGATCCAACTCCGGTCTTTTACGATGTTCATTTTTTTTGCGTAGAAACACTTCCTTTCTGGCTGTTACGCAGTTTTCATCGTTTACGGAAAAATTTCGTTTTTCCGAGATGGTTCGTTCTTGAACTGAGAGATTCGGTCAACAAAATGAGATCCTTGTGTACGTAATAGTTAATCGAGGTTACTCCAATCCAAGGGCGTTGCGTGCTTTGCGATATATCGATCGATCGGTCATTTAAACCCATGGAAAAGGATCGATAATCAGGGTGTTCGCAATAATAATCGATTCCTTACAATAGCTTCAAATGGGAAAATATCGAAAACGACCATCCAGCCCCCGCCACTGCTACGATCAATGAGTATGCAACGCACACAACACACCCATGTAGTTGCAACTTTTAGTGTATTTTCCGAAAATAATACACTGTTGCATTCTCCCATGATGTCGGACCCATCGGTCTGCAGACCTGAGACCGTATGAAGAGCACCGATCACGGGTCGTATATGCCATTCAAGTTCATGTGAAAATATGTATGTTATTTTCCGCCCTAAAGAGATTTTCCGAGTTTTGAGTAGTTATATCTTTCCTAAGCTGCAAGATATTTTTTGCCATACAATTGCAATATTTTTACATCATTTGATCAACAAATGGCATATGACAATTCCATATGTCAGGTTGGTATGATGCAATGAAATGAAAAACGTACTTACTTTTTTACTTACTTAATTACTTTTTTTTCCAATTTAATCGCAATGAATGTTATTGAGCGTTCAATTGATCAGTAGATAAGCAACATGCACACGCTCCGATGCAGTAGAGCGACAATATTCCCATATGAATTAATTGCAATGTGTGATACGGTTACCAGAACCGAAAGCATGGCTACTCGCAAGTCTTTGACTCATTTTAGAAACATCGCATGTGTCATTAATCTCCTTATACAGAAAAATTTTTTTAAGGGTGAACCAGAGATAATAATTTTCAATTGCAAAAATGTCCTCAATTTTTGATGCAATTATGCAATTTGATCAAATCATAACAGCTTGGGGGCAAGAGCAGCGCTTGGACTGGATTTCATTATACGGATCCACAATTTCTGGTTATTTTCGGAAGAACATTCTACAGCTTGTTGCAACTCGATTTAACCAAAAATTTAGTCGATCAACCAAATCGCTCTGTTTAATTTGACCGAATAAGTAACTCGATGCAAGCATGAACACAGACATTTTTAACTGTGCTGGAAATGTTCCTTCAACATTTTTCCTTTTTTTTAGCCTAATTTCATCCGTTTTTGCATGCAGGTGTTTCTATAGATGAGCCAGAAATATTAGCTGTTTATTGTAAAGTGTTATCCATCCGTGATTTGAGGTTAAGATTAAGATCGAATTCGGATTAATACTACCCGACGGAGTTTATTTTAACGAAAATATAGGGAAGGAATAAGTACCTTCTCTGAGTTATTTTGTAAGCTCCATCCTAAAGTCTGTGTTTCGCCCTCAAATGTCGATGTCAAAATTGTTTCGGACGATGATCGTGGGTATGCCGTCACCTCAAAATTACACTCACACGAGAGAAGAAGCAGCTGAAAAAGTAATTATGAGTTCATTTACACGTATGATTTTGAGGAGACGAGACGCATATAATTCTTGATGGTTCTTACTACAATGTAAATGTGGTCATCTACAGCCTCGTATGCTTATGCTCTGTGCAGATATTGTAAAACCTGAAAGCAACTCAGCTCGCTGAAAAATCCTCCTGATGCAAAACATTGAAAAATTCGATTTTTGTCCAATTTTGCTCGGAAAAAACTGGATTTTCTGGTCGGATGCGTAAATTGACGTATATCGAGGACACTGATTTCACCTTCGAAGGTTAAGTTAGACACGTTTTCATTTTTACTTTTGCACGTAAAATTGGATGCATTTATGCTGAAAGAACAATATTCAGTTAAATTAAATTAAAAGAAGCCGCGTAGCGTACAAATCCTCTGTAGAAAATTCCCTTTGATTAGATTCATTCGCACATAGTTTTTTTAAAACTTAAATACATCGAATTTTGTATAAGGAAAATGTTAATAGTGACATCGTCGTATGTCCTTTCTGACCCTGTTTCGTGGCCTTAGGCTCACGACATATAAAACTCGTACCTACACTTTATGAATAAAACTTTTAAGAAATTTGAGTGAGAAAACTCTTGCTTTTTTATTACGTAAAAGTGTTGCACGTAATGCATGTTTACAAGTTTTATACCGCATTTTAGGTACCTTAGTACAATTCAGCAGCAATTTTCCATGCAGAAGTTTCTTATGTTGCATATTTTTCTATTACTTTTGTTTGTAGCATCAACCCGAGCGATTTTTAGATTTAAAAGAATGTGGCCATGCAATTTTTTTACATAACTTTTTTCAACTTTTATTTCACGTAAATGTTACTTTAATAAAAAAACAAAAAGTGGTTATTTTACCCGTGCATTCTGATATTTGGTAACATTGTTTGGAAATCCAAATTCAATAGTGAATGCTGCCAGGATTGTAAATATTGTACGGATCTGTACAAGAAACACAGTGACTCTTTACTAGGGTAAAATGCTCTAATTTTATTCTGTGTAGAATGATATTCACTCACCCAAATGAAACAATAAACACCTCGGCACATTTTATTCCATTGACTTCAGAAATCTTCAGCACTCCTTCTAAATTTCACTAGCAATCGAATAAGGTATGCTTTACTATGTACTTAAAAATGTATTGATGTTAAATCTAAAAATATTGGATTTCATTCTTAGACCGAATTGTATTAAACGTGAATTCACCACAGCTCTTTTCCCTGAAATCAACCGACTAACCGGAGGGGTCTCCTGCACACGGTTTATACCCCTTGTCTCGCCGTTTAAGTGTAAAAAATCCGGTGTAGGTATCAGAGATTTGAAAAACAATTTAATTTTTGTCACCTTTTCTCGGATTTTATTTATCTCATGCAAGCAAAAAAAAAAGCAATCTATATTTGCGTCATTAATTTACGACAAAATTTTATCCAAACGGTTCAGGCTTGTGTAAATGAGATATCTTTTTTTATGGGCTCCATGAAAGTGATCCTTCATTCCATTAAATTCATCAGCAGAGGTAGATCGATGTAGGTCGGCAATCCCATAACTCGGTTTGCGACGTCGCAGACTTCCCGTCATACTTCATTTTTTAAACAGAAAAATACTCAATGCCAATCCTTTAAGACTGTCGTGTTTTCCTTCCCTGTGTGCGAAGAAAATTCTGCAAAAACCTCAAGGAATGGTGCCGATTTGTTCTACTTTAAAAAAATAACACAGAAGCGGAGATTTTCAGACAACGCGAACGAGATACGTGATTGCAGACTTACGCCGTCGACTCTGACAATCTACGACAATGATATCTTCACTGACAATCACTCATTAAGGGAGGACTGAAATGATTCCAGAAAAAGTTCCTGAGTTTATAACGATGGTGAGCCATCAGAACGCACAAAAATATGATTTGGATCGTAGAAACCGAATGGATAACGAAAAAGTGAAATGGGTGATAGCAAAGTATTGGGACATTATTCGATTGTAACGGTTTATTGGTTGAAACAAGTAACTAAGCACAAACCGCATGCTTCTCTCGAAAACAATAATTTCGGCTATACAAGGATGGCGATTTTTAATCGATTTCTTGCATAAAAAACCGATTAATTCGGAGCGACTTTTCGAGGTCGATTTAAAATCGAAAGCCGAAATCGAATTATCGAGAAAGTTCTTCAACTTTCTCGATTTCCTACGTTTATATATGTGTCATAAGGTGGAGGAATGGTGCTGGACCCACACCATTTCGCAGGGAAAACAAAGCTAAGGAGTTCCAAAAATTAAAATTAGAGAGTCAAAATTAAATTTTTTGAACTCTAATGCGCACCAGTACGAAACTGAGGGGGGAGAGTGTTCAGCTCAGAGTTCAAAACCATGTCCCGCGAAATGGTGTGGACCCAGCACCATTTCTCCAGCTTGTTACATTACATACATACAGTTCGGGTCCTTTATTAGTGATTTTTTTTTTTTTTTTTTTTTTTTTTTTTCATTTATATGTGTCACACAAGGCGTATAATTTCTGTGAAACCTCAGTTTAATTTCAAGTTCAGTTTAAGTAGTAGTTGTATTTTTGGCGCGGATTTTTCTGAAATCGATTTGTCATCCGATTTTAGGATCGAATCGATTCCCCGAAATCGATATATTTCAAAAAATTGCCTACCGAATCTCAGCGACGGAAAACATCTTCTAGGACCTTCTATTTTTCCGTACCCCCGTTGATTGCCTTCACTTTTGAACCTTGGAAGTTGTTCGCTAAGTAAATAAATCCTAATTTCGCGGTAAAACTACGCTGAGAGAGGCGGCTCTTTTTGCACGAGCAGAGAAATCTTCCTCGTGTCTAAAAGTTTTTCAATCTTCATACTGACAACTCTAGATAACGAAACGGTAACGACCCTGCCTCTACCTTTGCCGCCCAACGGATTCAATTAATGGGCTTCCTAAGTTTCATCATCAACACCGCGTTAATCGCTACAAGTGCTACTTTTCAACTCTGATTACTCTCCGTGGCTCAGTAACTTGATTCCTCATTAAATTTCATGACTCGTCCTGGACGGAACGACGTTAAACATCAATAAAATTATAATGCAACATGGTTGATTCGCTGTGATAACGTATGCTTTATTTACAAAAATATTCGGGATTCTAGGGCGTTCCGACACTATCGGACAATCATCAGAGGAAATAGTAAAATTTGAAATCGAAGCAACTATAAAATACATAAAGAATTCACGTCACTTACAAAGAGAACGTGATTAATCAGAATTCGCAAATCATACAAAACTTCCTCTAACTTTTTTTTGAAAGTTATTTGAGGTTTTTAATCCATTTGAGAATGGGTCAGTTGCGCTGGTCATAGAATCATGTTTCGATGCTTCATTCTTGCAGATCAACTAATTATAATAAGATTTGTCCAAACATTTTTACGTCAAGTATTAACCGAGGTAACGCGACTTGGAAAACTCGATTTATGACGTCATCCACCGTACCATGTTATGCATTACCGCGGCGGATGACGTCAAAAACCCGACTTTTCAAAGGACGATATCCTGTCTCAGTTAATGTTGAACGTAGAAAGTTGCTGTTTTGACGGATCTTCTTACTTTTAGCTGATCCACAAGAATCATGCATTAAAACACATTTCTGTTACCAGCGCAACTGGTCCATTCTGCAGCCTTGAATGAGCATCGGGTTAGGGTTAGTACACATCCATGCTCCAGGCTTTCAAATTTTCAGGGATTAAGGCTTAGTGAAATTTGTTTCTGCAGATCCACCGGTCCGCTCCTTGAAAATGTGTCGCCACCACCGGGATTCGAACCCGGGCCATATTGGTATAGAGTCGGACGCGCTGACCGCTAGGCCAACCTGGCCGGCTGTACTGACTTTCAAAATGCCTTAAGGACTAATTCTACCGTGCAACGCAAAAACGCCGTAAACGACATTTTTGTTTTTTGAAAGCAATGTATCATAGCAGAAAAACCTGTGTACCTTGAGACAAGGTTTTTACAGAAACCTTTCGCAAATACTATCAAGAACTTAACCTGAAAATTTGAGGTGCATGGGTAAAACGGTTTTTATTTTATGAAGTGTTAAGTTCCAAAAAACGAGGGAAAATCTTGATGGATTTACGGCGTTCTTGCTTAGCACGACCGTAATAGTACATGAGTATCGATGGCTACGTGCAAGGCCACGTATCTCCATCGCGATGTTTCAAAATCTCAGCTTAAAATTTATCGTCTTCCTTCTGACGAAAGGGCGTATCTCAATTCCCACATGAGTCCTGTTCTCTATACAGTGGCTTGGCGTGAATTGCGATATATAGATTTATGTGACATTTAAACCCATGGAAAAGGATCGATAGATAGGGTGTTCGCAGCGATAACACCTTAATAATCGATTCTTTTCCATAGGTTTAAATGACATAACAATCGATACATCGCAATTCACGCCACGCCACTGATAAACTCCATTCATTCTGGGGCTCATGCGGACATCGAGATAAGCCCTTACGTCAGAGGAGCGACGATATGCGGAGTATTCTGCTAAGAGAGAAGAAAAATCAAGGAAACTTTCAAGATACTAGGTTGACCGGCTTTAAAAAGAGAAAATAAAGTATTACAGGAAGTCTGCGACGTCGCGAGTAGAGATATGTGATATGGTTGTAGAGAAAAGAATAGCCGAGGTGTTATATGTGTATTCACTTATTTATTTATTTACTAATAAATACTAATAATACACGAATAAACTAGAGATATGTGGTTTCGCGCTTTGGCCATCGGTGTGTAGTGTTGATGATGGTACTATTTGGATGTATTTCTGCCAAACGGAACTATATGCATTAAGACATGAGCCCTGAGACCCATGAGAATATATGCATAACAGGGCTCAAGTCATAATGCACATAGTTCCGTTTGACAGAAATACGTCCATTTAAGTGTGTGAACCCAATCTGCAGCCACCGCGATAAGTTGCGACTTGGTCGGAGAATGTATCGCGATTTTATCGAAGTCAACTTATCGCAATATTGTAGGATACAAAATTGCAATAAATAGCGTTTATCACATAAAATTCTCAGTAACATCTCGATTTTATCGACGGCAATTCATCGCATTATTATCGAACCAGAAATATCGTGATAAATTGAGATATTTCGATTTTATCAGAGTGATATTTTTAGTGATGAAATTCCGACAAGGTCGAGGATATTACTGCCGTGCTGAGGAAGAACGCCGTATGAACATTCGAGAGTTGCCAAATTTCCCATGATAAAACATGTATATTGGACGATATTAATGGATATACTTTCTCTTAAAGTGTACCGATATTTTAGATTAAATTGCGGACAAAATTCCCTGAAAATTATAGGAAAAAATATTTACATTTTTCCCAGTAAATTTGGTTTTTATCGAAGGAAACCAGGCAACGTCTGAAGGCTCATACGGCGTTCTTCCTTACCACGGCAGAATAGCTCTGATGATGATCCTAGCGATTTTACCGCCAAAATATCGTGAAAAACCGCAAGTTGATCTCAAAATATCGCGGTTTTTCTCTTGAAAAATGCTTCTTGAGAACGGCTTTCTTACTACGGGGTGGTTCGCTGAGGGTACCGCACTGCCATGCTAAGGAAAAACGCCGTATGAACCTTCAGGCGTTGCCAGATTTCCTTTGATAAAACACGAAGTTCCTGGTAAACTTATGAAAAAAAATTTGCCGATTTTTCAAATAATTTTGTTCGCGATTTAACCTAAAGCTCCTGAAAATTTCAAGGAAAAATATTCATAATTTTCCTAAAAAATAAACCTTGCATCGAAGGAAATTTGGCGACTCTAAAATGTTCATTCGGCGTTCTTCTATAGCACGGCAGCGTGCATCTTAATTTCTCTCTGCTGGGCGGGCCGGGGGCGGGCTGTCCATGATCAGGCCTGGTGGTCTACGAGACCCAGAGCTATGTGGCTTTGATTCTTCCCGAGTTGTAGGCCCACGGTCTCCCGTCTCCATGTTCAATGGTTGCCGAGATGGATATCCATAACCATAACCATAACCCTGCTCCATGGTCGATGGTGGTCTTGATTGAGGCTGAGGTACCCTTACCCACTCATCCTCCGGGTCCGAATGTACCGCAGCGTTGTAGGGAATCTTATTGCACCAATGGGCGAGGCAGCAGCAACACATCCCTTTGAGGCACGTTTTTTCGTCGTCGTGGAGGAAGCCGTCTCTACCCCTCGTTTCAAACTTCTTTGCTCTCTTCCTCTGCGGAATCAGGGTGCCGTGAAACAAAAGAAACGCGTGACGGATTGGAGATTATAATAAAAAAAAATAAATGATATATAAATGGACGTATTTATGCTAAATGGAACTATATGCAAGTGGAAAGATGGGGCAAGCTCGTTAGTTGAGGGCAATAAGAATGAATGGGAATTTAAAAGCGCCAGTGACGTCAGCGTCGACGACCGAGACCGGGAACGATGGGGAGATCGGTAGCGGGACTCTTTAACTCATGAGCTCTGTCCACAACGCTCTTGTCATTCGCCCACGGTTCACATGTTAGCGCTCAGTTCCTTTTGATTTAATGTCAAATCCCACTTTTCCATTTTCTCAAAAAGAACTACATCCACTTTTACTGTGTTCCTTATGCAGCTTTCACAATCGCACCCCATCTTTCCACTTGCACATAGGGCCTTTTAGCATAAATACGTCCAAGTAATAATCTTGTTGACAATAAAATATTGAGATTTTTTTTAAAAAAATCCCTGGCTTTATTGCCGTAGTACAATTCCATTTGGCTTATTTGCTCTTGATGATTGTTATGCGTAAATAATTTTATATTTATAATTTTAATATATATCGTAAAATATTCGAGTATTTACTAACATTCAATTTTTGTTTTCCTGATATTTTAAATGAAATTTCCTAACTTTTCGCGCGAATGGATTTACGTTCGCGTTTGGATTTATAAATCAACACATCGACGATGAAACTATAATACCAGACCTCGTATCTCGGTTTGCGAGGTCGCAAACTTCCTGTCATACTTCATTTCTTAAATGGAAAACTGCTCGGCGTCAATGCTTGAAAACTTCCGTGATTTTTCGTCTCCGTTAAAAATTCGATAAGTTATGTGGATTTGTTCTCCTTTAAAAAAATAAAATGGGAGCGGAGATTTTGAAACACCGCAAACAAGACGTGGTACGTGGTCTGGTACTTTCAGCGTCGATATTTGATTAATTATTTGAAATTTGTTACGTATCCCAGTTATTAACGGCATGAAGTTGCAAAATGCTTGATTAACTTGAAATTTCCTGATAAATGACCGCAACTATCCTCATACCGGAGGCTGAAGTGCAAAAGCACGTATACCATTGTGGTGTTACAAAATCTCCCCTTCTACTTTATTATATTTTATTTTTTTGAAACGAAGCAAGTCATTAACGTAACTTGAAATGGATACAGATTATTCCGCTAATAAAGAAGAAAAATCAAGGTTGTTTCCAAACAATTACATAGAATAGTTTCTCAGAGAAAAAGTAAAGTATGACAGGAGGTCTGCAAGGTCGCAAACAGGGACAGGTACGCGGCTTCGCACTGAGGCCAGCGATATGTAGGTACCTAATTTTTCCTATTAACATTGAAATTTCTGATATTTTTCATTGTCTCTGGGTTTCAACCCTTAGATGGCCGAGACTTTTTATTTATGCAAGGTCCCATGTCGGGTCTTATTGGCCCTTTGATTTTAATACTTTGATTATGATAGTTTTTGAAATATCATCTATTTTATTTCTATTTTTGCGAGGTAAGAAATACTTCTTTCACCTTTTTGGTAACATACTGACGCTCTCTCATCCTCTTCCATATTCACCACCTGTTACTCTCCTAGAAGAAATGATCTCTATGGATAGTTGCCTTTAAAAAATCTCTAACACATTAAAACTCTCGCCAAAATACCAATTTTCAGACGTGACTTAAGACCTGAGAGACCTCTGAACATTTTTTTCTCCAAAATGATTGGACATTTTGACACATCATAGCATATTTTGAGCAAACTTGACCTCAACTCTTCTCAAATTCCAAAAGTGAGGGACACTCCGACGCGCGTTGATGACAGCGCCGAGATACAACTATTCGTGCTTGATGGACGTCCGTGTTGCATCTGTAGAATTGAAGGCGCGATAACAAGGGGTGAACTCGCAATACTCCGCTTTATGCTGCTTATGAGGAGTTTCTCAGATTCGGGAGAAAAGTTGGAAAACGAGGCCTGCATACGTCTCCAGGGCTGGATTAAGGGGGTGGCCACATGGGCCGCGGCCCATGGCGGCAAATTTAGGGGGCGGCAAATTTTGCAATATTTTTAAATGTAGGTTTAAAAAAAATTGGATTCAGAAAAAAAAATTTATCCATAAGAAAAGGAAACAAAATCTCTTTTTCCTGAGAGTATATTAATTTCTACTTTTGTCGTTTTTCGGTGATACAAGAGACAGCATCTTTAATTAGTCGAGTTAAGAGAGGAACTAAACACGCAATTTGGCCTGGAGCTCAGCGCAGAGGGGAATGTTGACGAGGACTTGAGATGGAAAGGACAAGCCCTCGGCGCGGCGCGGCGGTCAGCATGTAACACATATTAGCGCCTACAAGACTGCATGAATACTTCACCCATTGCGCTAAACACAGTGCGGTCACGCGGTCAGGAGCGGTTGGCGTGAAACGCATAGCTCCTACAAGCCTGCAGGAATACTTCACGCATTTCGCCAAAGACAGTGCGATCAGCGCGACGCGACGCAGCGATGGAAGTTAAAGTTATTAAACCACATTTATGTTTGTTCTTTCATATTTTTTTTGGTTCATTTCTCAAAAATGGAGGATCTTGTCCACAAAGAGATAGGTTTACTAAACATAACTTTTGCGTCAAGTTCCGTGAAATTTTGCTAGTAGTGTTGACAGGGCTTTCGCAAAAAAATGTATCCAACACGAGTAGGTAAACGCGTCTTATGCACTCCTCCCCCTCCGGCACGTTCACTTGATGGTTTTTATTGATGTTTCAAAACGAATGAGAAGGGGGCGGCAAAATACAGGCGGCCCATGAGCGGCAAGTAGATAAATCCGGCCCTGTACGTCTCCCCTGTTTTCAACTGTTTTGACACTCCATTTTTTTCTTTTTTTCAATTTGTTGTATACTTTTCTCTCTCTCTCTCTCCCTCCCCCTCTCTCCCGCTCCCTCTCTCATCAACGCATTTGTAGACTCGTATCTGATGCTCATAATTATATGTACTGGTCCCATTCAACCGCGAAGCACGTGTAAAAACACGTGCTACACAAGCTTGGTGTAAATTTGACCCGACTGGGGCATCTAAAGGTTAATGACGGCAGACACCCTGTTTCATAAAATTTTTGAGAAATATGTGGATTGCATTTTGCAAAGAGGAACCAAAAGCATTCTAACGTAGCTAGGATTGTGGAACTTACGCGGTTGCAATAAAAGCACTGAAATCATGAAAAAAAAATGAAATTTACGACGTAACTTTCATCTTGAATTTACTATTTATTTGAAGTACAGATAATTAGTTTATATTTGTAAGGTAAAAAAGTTGCACGATCCTAGCGACATTGGAACGCTCTTGGTTCCTTTTAGCAGAATGCAATGTATCAGAATGCTTGAATTCGTATAGGTACTTGGATTGCATTTTGCAAAAGGGAACCGAAAAAATTCCAATGTCGCTAAGATTGTGCGCCTTTTTTTTACATTGCAACTTTAAAATGATCATCTAAATAAGTTTTATCTTTACTACAAATTCAAGACGAAAATTAACTTTGTAAATTTTTTTTTCATGATTTCAGTAATAATAATAGCGAATAATGTAAGTAGCACTATCTTAGGAAAACATTGATTCGCTCTTGGTTCCTTTTAGCAAATTGCAACGTATCAGAATGCTTGAATTCGTATACTTGGATTGCATTTTGCAAAAGGGAACCAAAAATATTCCAATTTCGCGAAGATTGTGCGCCATTTTTCACCTTACAACTAATGTATAAAATGATAATCTAAATAAACTTAAGCTTTACTCTCAATAAACTACAAATCCAAGACGAAAATCAACTTCGTAAATTTAATTTTTTTGCATGATTCCAGTAATATTATAGCGAATAATGTAAATAGCACCATCTTAGCAACAGTGATTCGCTCTTGGTTCCTTTTTGCAAAATGCAACCACTTTGTCTGATGGTCGGTTTGGCGAATTTATTTTTCATGAAATCTTCCGGCCAGTGACGTACCTTGGAGCCTCCGAGTCCGCAAAAGCTGCCTGAGCGACGTGGGCTTTTATCTCTGGTTTCCAATCCTTGATCCCAGTCGACCCCAGCCCTCTCAGAGTTGCCTGAAGCCTCGACCGAAGTCCCGTTCAGCACTACCATTCCTCTTGCTGAGGACCACTGTGAGCAGAGGCGAGCGAAACAAATTAGCATCATATCTCCTGAAGCATATACAGGGTCATCCATAAATGGATTGCATTTTGCAAAAAGGAACCAGGAGGGTTCCAATGTTGCTAAGATTGTGCAACTTTCTTTGCCCTGCAAATGGACTGCATTTTGCAATTCGGAACTATAAATTCTGGCTCTTCTGGAAAAACACCTATGTGCATAGGGAAACTAATGGCACATACGTTGTTGCAGTCCAAATATAAACTGATCATCAATACGAGTATTATCTTTCCTCTCGATAAACTATGAATTCAAAACGAAAATTCCATTTGTAAATTTGATTGTTTTCATTATTTCAGTAATTTTATTGTGAAGAATGTTTGTTGCACAATCCTAGCAACATTGGAATGCTCCTGGTTCCTTTTTGCAAAATGCAATCCGAATGTTCAATCAGTTTTTACTTAAATACAGAACATAAATTGAAATGAAATGAAATGAAATGGATACTATCTTTAAATAAAAAGCAGCTGCATCAGCTATCACCTATCTATCTAACATTGTTTCTTAGCTATTATTTCTTTAGATTTTTTTTAAATTTTTTTCTTTTCTGACGGCTGATAATAACCGAGAGACTGGTCAAAAACGTCCTGTGTTTTGTAAATTATTGTGTTATTTAGTCTCGATCCCGCCTTTTCCTGTGTTATTTTATATCTATCTATTCAGTCTATCTATCTATCTACCTACCTATCTACCTACCTATCTATCTATCTACCTACCTATCTATCTATCTATCTATCTATCCATCTATCTACCCATCCATCTATCTATTTATCTATCTATTGACTAACCTACATTGTGATCCAAGAGTCCCGCACCACCCTCGCAACCCTTGGGATTCTCGCCCCACTCTGAGGTGGTATCCTAAAATTTTAGAGAGTTCCAAAAATCTTTTTTTCTGACGGAAGAGCACTGACGGAATTTCAATTCTCTATCTCAATTCAATCGCCTCTGATGCGGAACTTTAGACCACCCTGTAAGTGTTAAACAAAAATGCGAATCTAGAAAAACGAATATCATTATGACATCATCAATAAGTGTCCTGGTGCTTCTCTGGGAATTTGGCAACTATAGAAGGCTCAATAACGGCGCTCTTCCTCAGCTCGGCAGGATCTGATTCGAATAATCATCACGACCTTGTTAAAATGCTGGGGATCTCTACGCTCCTCCCATTACGTTGGCAAGGGATGCTACCAGTTGGGGTTGCATCCCTCTCGTCTCTCCCGAGCCGCGAGATTGGTCCCTCGCGAAAGGGAGGCGGGGTCTGGACCCGTTCGGATGCAGCAGGGTTGTTGCGCGCCTCTACAGCAACTCACCGCTTCTCACCCTTATCAGTGGTCCGCGGACATCCCTGTGATAAGTACCCTGAAACCCGTGCGATCCTTTAAGGTTCTCAAGGTCCTACACTCAATTAATTTTCATTAGTTTTACATGTGTGCATCAAAGACGACGCGCTGAAAAAGGATTAATATTAAGGAGAAAAAGTGAGTCGCCCTTTTGTATGTATGATTTTTATTACTTTCAGATCCAAACTGCATACCGACGGTGAAACTGCCAAACCACGTACCTCCTTAGCGGTGTTTAGAAATCTCCGCTCTCATTTCATTTTTTGGAGAGAGAATAAATCAATATCATGCCTTGGAGTTTCCACAGAGTTTTCTTCGCACAGGGAAGGAAAATCATGGAAGTTTTTCTAGACTTGAAGTTGAGTAATTTTTCGTTTGAAGAATAAAATATAGCAGGACGTCTGCGGCGTCGCAAACCGAGATGCGTGGTTCGGTAATTCCATCGTCGATATTTCTGGAATTCACTTCGTAAGAGCTGAACTTGCTTTGGAAAGAGAGCAGATACTGTATCGTGCGAGTGGAGTTCACACCGTAAAAGAGAGTAGACTCTGGGCGGTACGATCGCAATGGGCCACTATACTTTTTTTTTTCTTTGAAGGAATTTTATTTAAATATAACGTAACTACTACAAGTATTTCCTTGTATCTTCCACAAGTATTAACCACTATAGACAAAGTATGACTTAAAGCATTCCGATATATTTTCTCTTTTCAAGATTTCGCGTGAAATACAATTGCGGAACCGAGCGAGTAAGCATCATAACTAAAATGAACGAGGTGCAGGTATTAAAGAGATACCCGAAAACTATAATTAACGCCGCGTTAAGTGGTGCGACCCAGTCTATATAGAAATCGTATGATATCGTCATTAACACGCTTTTATGAATACGATCATCTGTTGATGATCGTAAATACATAATGGCGGGCGTTGCAGAAGTTTAAAGAACAAGATAGAGTTTGTGCAAGTATTCATACAACTTGGCAAATTCTGATTCTGAATGACACCAGCAATCATAGAACATCCAACTCCAAAAAAGGTCAAGTTGTAACTGTTTTTTTTTTTTTTTTAATATTCCACCGAAAAATATATTAAGCACGAAGTCGGGTTGTATTGGGAACACGTGCAAATTATTTCTGTGCTTGTATGTGAGAATGTGTGTGTCTCTGATGGGTTTGGTTCGTTGACGTCAATCTGATGATGTCGTGTGACAGTGTTCGAGTTCGTACAAATTACACGGATATTTTGGTCTCAGCGTGTGTTGAGCAGTGAGCACATGTGAGCAACGTATGATCTGGTATCTGGATGTTGAATTTTTCATGCGAATATTTAAATAAATATTTAAAAAAAAGGAGTAAAAAAATAATTTGAAAAGAAGTTTCGCTGAAGCTTTGCCTGTGTTTGTGTAGAATCATTTTGATGGCACCATAAGTGAAGAGGAACATAAATTCACAGGAGTGACATTTCTCGCAAGTTTGTAACTCTAGATTTCACCTGATAAGTGAATTTGAAGCAATCGATATTTTTTTGGCAGGCTGCCTCACATAGATTCACCGGTGGGTAAAACAGTGTTATCATATCTTCCAAGAATCGTCACCAATTAAAGAGATTGGAAAATAAGCAATTTCTCTAATTGCGATAAATAAAATCATGAATTTGTGCCTCTAAGAAACAGATGTAAATAAAAAGTCTTTCGACGTCTTCAACCCAAAATGAGGCCCGAAATACCCAAACACAAATCGGTAATGTATTAAAGACAATTTAAAAGGGGTGTGATTTAAAAAAAAAATAGTTTACCGTGAAAGAGTTTTATCCTTAAAATAACCAGAGAGTTAATGTAACATTTTCTTTTTTTAACAAAGACAAGGAAAAATCGACTCCAGGCCTAGGTCTTGGAATAGCATCACTTAGATTTTGGGTAGGTGTTTAACTAAAGAAGCCACGGGACTAGACTGTATTTCGGGCGCGTGTACTTCCTACCCAGAATCTAGGCGATACCGGTTTTACCTGCTTCTCAAACATGATCACGGAACAATTTTTTGCTTTTTAAAAGCATGGTTGATGTTTTTGTGCGTCAACGGAGACAGGTCAACACGTTTGAAACCACTTTATTTGAAACTGGAAGTAAAAACGCTTGCAGGACCCGGCGTACATTGTTTAAACGCACGTCATCCATCTCGCAAGTCCTTCAGGAGTGGAAAATTCCCTGCGCTCAAAAATGGAGAGTTTTTTTCGAAGTAAAGTGAAAAAGGGAAGGGGAGATCGAGAGTTACGTAAAGTGTTTGTGCTTTCACCAACGTACGTTCAAACTAATTCAAACTCATTGTAATGTCTCAGTATATGCTCATCCCAGTTGTTTTCTCTCTATAAAAACACATCAGCTTTAAGACTGACTTCAAACGCAAGTTCTCGAAATCACCAACACACTTGTCACTGTGTTCGTAGAATCGCATCTGAATGTTAACTCACTGCCTTCAGGCTTCAGAGGAGCTGTTTGAATCATTTGCTCACCAGATGACGATAGGATAGCGCTTGCCGCCACGGCCGTATACCAAATGGACTACATTTTGCAAAAGGGAACAACATTTTATGTCACATTTTAGAAACAACGTGTGTGCCACTAGTTTTTCTATGCAGATAGGTGCTTTTACGGCTGGGCCGATCAGTAGCGCGCCTATGCCTGCAGCTGCATTCCTAATCAGTCATAATAAGTATTGCTCCAAAGAGCATGAATCTCTTATGGGATAATTTTGTGGGAGCACGGCACGGGGAGAGGGGGCAGTAGGGTGCCTCATCAAAAGGAATATGAGGCACACAAAAAATGTTCCATATAGGGAGTTTAGGGGGCTCTCTTAGCCTCGTTAGGGGTTCCGAGGAGCGTTCTAGCCCCAAAAGCGGGCCCGGAAGTTTCCCCAGAAAATTTTGAAAAATTTAGTTGACTGGCGTAATTTTTAACTGATTTTACGGAAGAATCGATTGAGATTTAAAATATCAAAGATGAAATATGTTTTAGGCATACATCGAGGAACATCCTTCATATGCGCACAAGGGGGTACACGGACTTTATGTCCACTTTTTTTACATTCACAGACTTTTCGTCCACAATTTTTACGTCCACAGTTCTAAAGCCCACACTATTGTTAAGTCCATTACTTAAACGTGCACTAAGTTAAGTCCACAAATGTAAAGTCTACTAAAATCAAATTCAAGCGTTAACTTTTGAGTCGTCCGTGTGTAAAATTATATTGACAATATCGAAATGAGAAAATTAAGAGAGAACAAGGTGTTGTTATCGTAACTCATATTTTAAATGAAATGTTAATTTCTTCTTTTGATTCATCTTTTCAAATTGTCTTTGCTAAATACTTGAGTTCATTTTTGTCCTTGAAATTTCTGATATAAAATATGCCTTAAACATTTTTTTTAAAAAAATGAAATCGATTACTTCTTTTTAAAAACATTTACATTTTTAATTCGTGGTAAATATTTGTAAAACCTCTTCCAAGCAATGGCATCGATATGAATCTCAATGAGCCGTAGTTGTGATGAAAGAAACTATACACAAATTAATAAAAGAGGAAAAAAACTAAGAAGCACGCAATTTTTTGTTTTTAACTTATTTGTACATCGACCTTTTTTAGTCAAGTACGTCCGATTTTCAGCGTTTAGTTGCGCTTACACCACGCTACAATACAGTAAAAGCCCAAAACATACAAGAATAAATTTGAATGCTTTGAAAATCATTAAATTTGACACGGAACTATTCTTATATTTACAAAGAACACATATCGACGGTGAAACTACCAAACCACGTATCTCGGTTTGCGACGTCGCAGACTTCCTGTCATACTTTATTTTTTAAATGAAAAACTATTTAACGTCCAGTCTTGAAAATTTCTGTGATTTTTCCTCTTCGCGCGGAGAAAATTCTGTGAAAATTTCAAGGAATGATATTGATTTGGTCTACTTCCAAAAAATAAAATGTGAGCGTAGATTTTTAAACACCGCAAACGAGATACGTGGTTTGGTAGTTTCACCGTCGATATATTTTCCAGCAGTACATATTCCTTTTTCATCAGTTTAAAAGAGATTAATCAATGCAGAGAGGGCAAACATTTCAAAATTATGAGTTGAAAAACGCTGACTTTGCGAGTTTAAATATTAGAGTCTAACACGGAGCGGAGCGGCGCGTTAGCAGCGCAGAATGCGCACTGGCGCCTACAAACCTAACGGGATACTTCACGCATTGCGCAACGCGTGAAGTATCCCGTTAGGTTTGTAGGCGCCTATGCGCGTGTCACGCTGGTTGCCTGCCGCACCGCAACGCTTTAAGCAACCATTTCGTGTCAGAGGCGTTGCACAGTGTCCTACAAGATTGAAGGCGCACGAAATAACTAGTTAAAGAGGACTTTCAATTTTGACAGCATCTGTTACCGAAACTTGTTTAATTTGGCATTGGGGCGTTTCCTAGGCTCCCGCTTCGGTTTTCATCTTATCATGTCCCTACAGTGTACACAGGAACATATGTTTTTATCTGCTCTTAGAGTCTGTTCTCTTCATGACTTGATTCATGAATGAAGTGTTTTTCAGAATGAAGGTAGTAGTAGTATGCATTTATTTTTGAGGTGGTTCCTGTAATTTAAATGAGAAGAAAAAACTGTGGACATAACATGTCCACAATTTGGAAAATTTTGGACATATTCATGGTTGGACATTAAATCATGTGGACTTAATATAGACTGGACTTAACGTTTAGTGGACATAAAAAGCGGTGGAAATTTATTTAATTGACGAAAGGTAGGTGGACATAAAGTCCTGGAAGCTATTGGGGCAAATTTTAAAGCAGCCCAATAAGACATCGAATTGCGATTTATTGCATAGTCAAGATGGGGCTTTGTCTTGTCGTGTCGGGCTGACATAGTTTCAATAGTCGGGCCGCGTGTGGAAATCAACCTTCCTTCTTGAATCGTGTTGGCTTTTTTTATTGATCTTTGAGTCTCAAATGAGTGTTATTCCACGCAAACTTAAAAAGTCACATCCTTCAAGAAAAAATGAGAAGGGTAGAGGAATAAACCAAAATAAAAGGGAAGAAAAGCAAACATAAAGTGAAAAAGTGTAAAAAAAGCAAATAAAGAATATTTGCTGGCGGGTGCAGATCGTAAAAAAAAATGGGGTACAAAAAATATTTCAAAATTCCCTGAACCACACGAGTGGCACTGTTGCCGCGCGTCACTCTGATCCGCTCGTGAAAAAAACATCATTCGAAGAATTTTAATCATACAGAAAATCCTCGAATCGAAACGTATAATATCTGGATGGTTTTCCTTTGATCGGTGGGTTATGCTTTAAAAAAATGATGGCTTCCTTGAAACCCTGAAGTTTTCAGCGTGGAGAGGTTGCGCCATTAACATCTTGAGTCCAACCAAATCATGAGAGCCGGGTTCCGGTAACCTAAATTTTCCTACCAAATTCCAATGAAAGAGTGCGCGTCAATTCATTGAAGTCGAAAATGTCATCGTATTCCATGTCATGACCCGACAGCTTATCTGGTAAGGTCACGTCAACAGAATGACGGACGAAAGGCTGCCGAAGAAGTTGCTCGATTGGGTTCCTCCTGGGAGGAGATGGAGGGGATGCCCATGCCAGGTGGCGGCAGGGGGTTTTAGAAGAAATGAGGGAGTGCCAGCTCCCTGAAGTGTTTTGGGACACACAGAGAAAAAAGATAGGTAGAATTTACCATTCCTTCATGCTGTATTTTACACAGTGTCAATTCAGAGTCAGTTCTGCCCAAAAAAAAGGTAAACGTTACTATATACTGGTAAAGGTAACCACCCCTCTGGCAGAATCGACTTTGAATTCACGCTGTGTAAAATACAGCGTGAAGGAATGGTAAATTTTACCTATCTTTTTTCTCGGTGCAACAGGGGACTTTGGCGGCTAGGTGTCGCAGAGCGCCGAGAGCGCTATAAAAGCGGATTTTATAAATAAAACCTAACTTTTTGTTAGCGATACCAAATCTCGTACTCGCGTAATAAAAAATTTTGACTATCCTGAAAGAAATTTGGTCCATTCGACCGACCTCTACGGGTGATCTGGGCCAAAAATATTGGTTTGTGCAACTATTTGTACTATTTTCAGAGAAAATGCATCCTCGAGTCCAGCTTTGCAATAATAAACCACATGCATCACAATCTAGTCAGAGTGTCAAACTTGCATGTTCACGATAAAATGGCAAAAGGCAGAACAATTGAATTTGTCCGCAACGAACACCTCAACTATCGATGTTTTCCCATAGATTCATACAGGAAAAGATCTATAACCGATGACAGTCACTTTACCGCTGGTACTCGTAGGCATATTGTGAAATCCAGTAGGCTGATTATTGAAATTGATATCCAAAAAGATAGACAAAGAGAGCACAGGGAAAATGAAGCGCGATCCCATTGGTTGAAAGAGGGTGGTTAGAATGAACAATAGAGGTGACTTATAGACTAACTAATGGTTTCCATAGTTAACCAGCAAGAACCACCCGTGGAAACCAAAACCCTGCTAAAAATGGTGAGTACAAATGAGTAGAAAATTGAAGTCATATGAATAGAATTCAACTTTTATGAATAGAATTAAACTCATATGAGCAGAATTTCTCTATCCAGTTTTCGCCAACTCATTTGACTAGAGATTTCAACTCACATGAGTTCAGCGTTGAATTTACCGTGTCCGATATCTCAGAAACTAGTCACCGCATCAAAAAAATCATAAGAACAAAACGTTTTTATTTTTCCAATTTATATACTACGTCAGTGCCTCCTGGTCAGAAACAGCACTTCTGAAAAATGAAAAAAATTGAATTCATATGAGTTGAACTTCTCTACTTTTATGGGTAGAATATTCTAGTGATATGAGTAGAATTTCCTCTCACATGAGTAAGATTTCTACTCATATAAGTAGGAAGTTCTTCTCATGTGAGTTGGCAAATTCTGAATAGCCTACTCGTCATTTTTAGCAGGGTGAGGTATCGTGAGAAAAGTTAAGAAACGAAGCTCGATTATTACGTACCTACGGCTCTCCTATTAGACTGTGTTGCTCATACATCCTTTCAAGTACCGCTACAAAACCAAATAAGACCGACCGAAACAAACACAGTATGGGATTAGAGCAAAGTAAAAGGATGCTCCTTGATGACGGCGCAGAGATACAACTATTCGTACATGATGGATGTCCGTGTTGCATCTGCAAAATTGAAGGCGCGATGGCGCTAGGCGTGAACTCGCAATGCTCCGTTCTATGCTGTCAGCGAGAAGTCTCTCCGATTCGAGAGGAAAATTTAAAAAACTAGATATTTCCTTTTCGTTCTTTGTCTATCGCTTTGCCTATCAATGCCAATTGTCAGCCTTCAATTTGAACATGAGGCAATCAACTTCGAGTTGGGGTCGGATACGGTTTTGATACCGCGATATTCGTATTTCATTTCTAAATAATCGGTTTGCAGTCTGGACCGCAAGCCGAAATCACGATCGACATTCTCCTCAAGTGAGATCGGCGCTGCATTTAAATGGTGCATTTACAATGCCCAAAGGGACCCTTCCGAGTTTCGATTTCAGCGCAGAATTAATAATTCAGGAGTCTGCGTAGTTTTATTTCACACGCGGTCGAATATCTCAGGTCTGAGCTTTCCGCGATCGGTCGTTTTATTCTCTACACTTCTATTTATCAACTGACATAACGTGGAGTCAATATCTTTGGTAAAATGAACCGCGTTAAGGAGAAAGGAAACAAGCCATATTATCATTGCCACATTTCATCTAACATTTATTTTGTTACAGAAGAATAATCATTCTAAACCAAGCGTCAAGCGTCTAAACCTCTTCATCAAGAATTCGCACAATCGTGCGAATTCTTTTGGAACTTTCAGAGAATATGTTCCACGCATCGTCGTTCATCTGATGAAAGGGCGTATCTCGATCTCGCCATGAGTCCCAGAGAGCATGGTATCATATGTAAATCAGGGCTTACGTGAAAATTGACATACGCTCTTGCGTCAAGGGGAATCATCGTGGAGGAAATCCCGTCCTAATTTTGAAATAATCTATAATCTACACCACCGTTATCCTGCAAAATACCTATTTCATCCTCAGAAGATATTTGGTAATGCTAGGTGTGACTTTATTCCTTTCTACTTGATACGGATGGACAAAACATAAGTATTGTTTTCCTCTTATGGCTTATAAAATCACCGTAACTGCTACAAACTACCGATTTGTATCTATCTGCATGTAATAAAATATGTTTAAACTACGAATTAAGATAAGGCAACGGTAGATAGTCACTCAAGTGAATTTTACTACGTAATGGGTTCCCATCCATCCTGTTATACTCTGTGCATAATATTATATGTTTCAAGTTGTGGTTCCAGTGCATAGTTGCTTTGAAATAAATCTGCAATCATTACTGTAACTCTCTGACCCCTGAAATGTACATTTTTGGTTATAATTCGTTCTACCGCTCCACTGGGCCCATGTCTATGATTTTTGCAGCTATCGACAAGAGACAGTCCGTAGATGAGACTATACAATCATATTTGGAAATATGACCAGATTTTCTTTACATAACATGACAAAGTTGTGAATTCTCTCTTTTTAAAGAATGCAAATGTTCATTTTTTCTTACAATATCTTCTAAAGATCTACCAGGCCGATTTTCGTGATAATACAATAATAAAACAAATCACACAGCGGGTAACAAGGGTACCCAATTTTCACGTAAAATACTACCAAAACGACTCGGCTGAAAACTCAGCTTTCCTCAGTTGGCTAAAACAGTATAAACAATTGTAAAAATCTAAAAAGTAGTGCTTGCCTGCACCTTTCAAAGCTGGAAAATGTTTTTATCATAACATTCATCATTTTCGTGATTATGGCGACTATCGACAGGGAATAGTCATTGGATAAGCTTACTCTATATTTAGATTAGATACTCGGGGACCCCCAAAAACTGGTCTTAGAGGGTGCAATACGTCCTCCGGGGATTAAGGCCAGGGAGGGTGCCGGGCCGGGTGCCCCCAAGTTATTACTAAACTTCGAAGAGACAACTCCTGCTAAGAGAAAAATTCTCTTTTTCCTCTGGCAGAAGTTTACAACGGACCCATTTTACACTGCAGGGTGTCCAGATTAGAAATCATTTCTGGGGGAAAAACTATGACTCTGAAGTGTTTTACGGAATATATGAGCAAAATAAGATTGTTTCGCACAGTAATATTCGAATGGAAATCATGGAATTGGGGTCCTGTTGGGTCCTAGCAATTGTTGTATGGTTGTTCTTAACCACTATTGGACGTATTTCTGTCAAATTGAACTAAGCACCACCTCGGCCTTTCACACGAAAATGTATGATGTTTAGTTATATGTATCTGAGAATTTTGTCATAAACGACGATGTAAAGGAGGGTGGGAGTGGGTTTATTTTTGACTTTGAGCTAAAGAAAGTAAGAAAAATTACATTACCAGTAAAACACAGCAAACACAAATGAACCGCATAGTTCAAGCCTGACTACGGAGAGGATTATCTAGGCACGCTCATTTATAAGTTCAGAAAACTTTTTTGTCGCGCGCGCTTTGTTTTCGAATTCTAAAACTCGCGTCACGGATGTCAGAGCGTCCTTTTCAAGCACCACTACAATGTGCCTCAAAAACTCAGTTATACTAGGAACACATCGTAATCGCACGGAGTGTTTTGTTGAGTTTTTTAACCGTTCCAAACTTGTTTCGAAATAAAGATCAAGCGAAGGATTTCCTGATGGGTCAGCAGTAGTATTGACTTCAAGGTTTTTATTTCACCAACGACAAGGTTATTTCGAGGGATTCAGTCAGGTGGTGCCCCATTTGCGTCGTTTAAAAATCTCAATTATTTTCAAGTTTATTTTTGATTCACTTTTTATTACAGAAAACTATTTAAAATACTCCTTGAAACTGTGATGGACCCGCGGTGAGATGGTGATAACTCCAGGGTCTTTAACTCGCTAACTAGGGGGTGTGCCAACACAGATAACCATACAACACGAAAATGGGTGTGAGAAACTCTATTCACTAAACTATACCGATAAAACCACGATAATGTGACACAAAATCCGTGGTCACAGAAGACGCTCAATACAATCCACTGAGTTGGATTACTCCGAGCACCCAGGGTGTCGAACCTCGGCGATCTAGAAAACCTGAAGACGCGTGGTCGACTGCCTAATGGAGGCGTAACGCGGAAACACCCATCCGGAAAACCGCGTCCGATGACGTCATTCGCGCTTGCAGAAGTCTCAGTAGAGAACTACATCACTAAGATGTACTCTGCGTATGAGATGAGGCTACATCGTCATCCCAACCAGGAAGCGCTTGCGCTCCTGGAATGGGAACAATGCGGTCGCAGGTAGAAGAGACGTAATGTGCTGGTTACTCGCTCAAATTTCCATCAATTTCCGATCAAATGGTGACTGGTGCGCACCATCCACCATCAAATTTCTGCGGCCTGCAAAAATTTGATGGTAGATGATGGAGCTGTGGGGCTCATCCTTCATCTGATTTCCACACAACCGTGCTTATTTCATGCTTATTTCAATCAACACGCTGTTCTGATTAATTTTACTCATCAATCTAGGTAAGTATCGACCGCCATCTTGGTTATCATTTTGATCGGAATTTGACAGCAATTTGATCTTGTAACCAGGCCATTAACCCTATGAGCTTTGGATTCAGGGTTTCACAAAATTATTCCCATGAAACAAGAGTGCCTCCCCGTACCCTCAGACGGAGCAGGGCGTTCTTTGGTCTTTGATCGGTGCCGGTCGACCACAGTTTTAGTTAAAGCGAAAGACATAAAGTTAAGACAAAAAGGCATTTTTATTTTCAGTAGTAATCTTGTACCGTTTCCCTCCTCATTATTTAGAGGGAGTATATTATATCAACTAAATCAGGTTAAAATCTAGTTAAGTCTATTTACACTTAAATTAAGCTTAAAAAGACATTTACTAATGTCTATGAGTGTATTTTGTACTAATTTGTTGCTTGCACAAATAATAAAAAGAAATTAAAAAAAAAAAAAAAACTTGCAGAAGTCCGAGATCCAAAACACTAGGTACAAAGGACACACGCAATTTCCCCGATAATTTCGTGTGTTCCATTGCAAAAATTTCTGGGATTATTTTTTATGAGTAGAAATCTCAATAAAAAATTTTGATTAGGTTCCTGTTAAGCCCAGCCCGACGGAATTGGGTATTTTAGACCTGTCGCTCGCTATAATTGGACAGACTTAAATTTACCTACAGGGGTCATATATACATGAAAGTTTTAAAAATGTATATTAATGAAGAACTGGGTCTGTCATGCTAGGTTTAATGGTGACAAATAATAGCCACCGGTATTTTTCTATCATACTGTAGATGGTAGCACTCTCTTAGGTTTTTTCATATTCTATGTTCCGGTTGACACTAAAGGTCAGCGTGACTTTGACGAGCCGTTGCCTCTTCTCTTTTTTTTTCACATCCCATTTTAAAAAAAAGCATACGCAACTGAACAAACAATGTTGCGACTCTTATTGCAAATCAGGAACATTTTGCAACGAAACGTGTGTAAAACAATCAATATTTTTAAGAAAACCTGCGTCGTCTCGAATCGATCACTTACTTCGTATTCTGTAGATTATACCACTGTTGAACAGAACAGTATTACTGTGTGGGGTCTACGTAATTCTGCAGGGAATCAAGTCGAAAATTCCAAAAATTTCCATTAAAGTTAATAACATGAACTCCACTTTTCCCCCTTTCTTGAGTCAATTTTCAAATGGAGCAAAAACGGTTTCCAACGTGCGAAAATAGCTATCGCACTACTCAACTGCCATGCTAAAGAAGAACGCCGCATGAACATTCGAGAATTGCCAAATTTCCTCCAATAAAATGTTTACTTTTAAAGAATGTTATAAATATTTTTCCTTGAAATTTTCAGGAACTGCAAGTAAAATTGCAAACAAAATCATCTGAAAAATTGGAAGGAAAATATTCATAAGTTTGCCAGGAAATTCGTGTTTTATACCAAATGAAATTTGGCAACGCCTGAAGGTTCATACGACGTTTTTCTTGAAACGACAGTGCTTCGTATCGTGCTTAGCTGTCGAAAAATCACCTGCGATTTAAAAGTCTCGTGCAGTTGGTCCACCGCAAGCTATTAAAAATTTTTTCTTGAGTAACTTCATGTGCGCAGGAAAAACTGCAATTTCTGAAAAAAAAACGAAAAAAACTCGCCAAAAAAATTATTTTGCTCTCGCGTTTCCGTGTTCGTTAAAGCAGAATCATACCGTCGCTCATTCAACGAATTCAAACGAGCCCAGGCACGTGTAGCCAGAATTGTGTATCGNGGGGGGGGGGGGGGGAGGTTGCGCGGTCCCTTTACTACCGGAAGGTCTGAGGGGTATGGAATATCCCCCAGTCCGGAGGGGGTTACGGAAAATTTTAGCAATTTGCAATCTAATTTGACGCATTTTAAGGCTTCCGTGACGCGGATTTTCCATCAATGTCTGCAGAAAAATTACGTTTCCTTTTTAACTTTCAGCAAAAAAGACTTTTAAATTATATGCATTTAAAAAGATCCTGAAAATGTTTGAAATTTTAACTCTTTTTGGACGCATTTTGAGGCTTCTGTACCACAGATTCTTCAGAAATTTATGCAGAAAATTCCGCTTTAATTTTTTCACTCCAACACAAAATACTTTCAAATTGTTATATTCGACAAAGCTGGCAAATTTTTGAAATTTCAACTCTATTTGGACGTATTTTGAGGCTTCTCTGACGAAAATTTTAGGAATGAACACAGTGTTTTCATTTAAGACTCCACATTAAAAGAGATAAATATCTTCGACGGTCTTAAACTTCTTCTTTTCTCGCACTTTCTCGTCTTCTGTCTCCTCTTTCCTTCTTTCTTTTCCTCCTTTTTCGGCTTTCGGGGGGGGGGGGGCAGACCTCATCGTGATTTTTGAACCATTTTCTTTCAGATATAACTGGACTGCATTTTGCAAAAAGGAGCCACGAGTATTCCAAGTCGCTATGATTGTGCAACTTTTTGTTTACCTCGTAAATACATATATACTGATAATCAAAACAAGTGTTATCTTTAGGTATCCCTGGTAAAAATTGGCGATAGGAGCTGCGTTTCAAAATACCATAGGAGTTTTTATAGCCGACTAAAGAAGGCTATTGAAAATCATTTAGCTGGCTGTAGAAAGCGGAGCAAATCATAAATCCGGGCTATACGAAGCTATAAGAAAGTATACAGTCGGACTATAGTTCCTATCGCCGGGCTTTACACTTTATCGCCATTGGCTCTAAAAGGCTATTAGAAATTGTGTAGAAATTCGTGTGCTTTGGAAATCATTAAGTTTGATACGGAACTACCTCAATATTTACAAAACACACATTATATTTTCCTTTAGTACATATTTTTTTTCATCAATTAAAATGAGAATAATCCATACAGGATGTGCAAACATTTCAAAATCATGGGTTGAATAACGCTGACTTCGCCAGATTAAATATTAGAGCCTAACACAAAGCGGAGCGGCGACGCACCGGCGCCTACAAACCTAACAGGGATACTTCACGAATTGCGCAACGCATGAAGTATCCCTGTTAGGTTTGTAGGCGCCAATGCGCGTTTCCCACTCTCTGCCCGCCCGCCGCGCCACAGCGTGCCACGGCGTCTGAAGCAACTATTTCACACCAGAGGTATTGCACAGTATCATGAGTAATTGAAGGCGCTCCAACTTATTAAGAATGACAGGCATCCTTCAAAAGTACGGAGCTTTCCTCGCAAAATAAAGCAAGATACTACGGCACAAAAAGAGAACGTTAGTCCAAAAACTAACTAAGTCCTATTATCCGTATTTTGTAACGTTGAGCATAAACTTTATCGTCTGGCTGTTGCTTAATCGCCATCGGCTATAAAAGGCTATAAGAAATTGTACAGCCGGCTACAGAAGCTATTGAAAATCTTACAGCCGACTTTAGGTCTATGGTATTTTGGAACACAGATTCTACTGCCAATTTTTACCAGCAGGGTACTCCTAATCATAATTTAGAATTTCAAGACGAAAATGACCTCTGTAAACTCAAGTTTTTGCGCGATTCCAGTTATTTTAATTCAGAGAATGTAAGCAGCACAAGGTTAGTGACATCGATTTGCTCTTGGTTCCTTTTCGCAAAATGCGATCCAACTTTTATTTTTCCTCTAGCTGGCGTTTGTAACATGTTCAGCTTTCATACATAAGAACAATAATGAATGCGGTTATAGGTCGATTTTCTTATCCTTTCATTTTTGCATTTACGCTCCCGTCAATACGAATCCGGGATAATTTCGATCAGATCCGATATTTTCTATCAGAAAGAACTTTCTTTTTTGCTCTAGCTAAAGTTTGCAACGGGCTCATTGTTTAAGGGTCCAATTATAAGAAAAAAGTATGGAAAAAGGCATTCAGTGCACTGAAAAAAAAACACATTGGATCTAGAGACCAGACTCTTGAAAACATTGACAAGAAAAAATACTCTTAATTAAATCGGATTTTTGCTTGAATCAAAACGAAATCCGCTTAAATTAAGAGGCTTGGTTCTTGACTTAAGCTAGATTCTGATTGAATCAAGAGTACTTTCTCTTGTCGATGTTTTTGAGAGTCTGGACTCTAGATCCAATGTGTTTTTTTTTTTTTTTTTTTTTTTTTTTTTTTTTTTTTTTTTTTTTTTTTTTTTTCCAGTGAGCGGCTCAGGAAACAATAAAAACGGAAGGAAGAGAGCGCGTGGCGTTAAAACCACGAAACCGCGATCGCATCCGTCACGCGCGCGGATCTCCCGGGCGCTAATTATAATTGAATCGTTTTAAATTCGAGCCGGCGCCGTTTACAGCTGTAATTCGCGTCTTATTTGGACCCCGGCCCCGCGTCCCGCCTCCGAGGGCGATCCCCGATGAACTGCTCTCCAGAGACAGGGACCCGATCACTCGCCACCCTCCCCGTTCTCATCCCCATCCCACCATCCCTCCGAGAGCCGAATTCTATTATACGCAATGAGATTACACTGTCCGCTACCTCGGTAATTTATCACTGCCCGCTCCTCTATCCTCTCCTTTTTTCCATCCATTTAAAAAGTTCATGTATAGTTGTAGTAGAAGAAGAAGTAGTAGTAGTAGTAGTAGTAGTAGTAGTAGTAGTAGTAGTAGTAGTAGTAGTAGTAGTAGTAGTAGTAGTAGTAGTAGTAGTAGTAGTAGTAGTATTCATTTATTTTTAAGAGGTGCCTTAACATCGGAGGCCATTTACACCTCTGATAAAAAATAAAATTAGGGTGTTCATCTTGCAGGCAAATTGTTAAATCAGGCATTTTATCGAATGCCTCGGCAATGAGTCAAATATTCTGACTTGGATTGAAATTCTGATTCTTTTGCTACTTTCAGACAAAGTGATTCGTTGCTGTATTACATCGAGTTTTGAAACTTTTATTCTTGTGATTACAGAGTAATGAACGGTCTGGCCGACATGTACACCACAGTTGACTCAACCATTCCAGATTCAAGCACTTTCAAAGAACACCTGATTCACTTGTCCAAAAGGTACCATCTTCATGTATTTTTGTTTTATAATTCGATAAAAGCTATGCTATTACTCAAAATAATTCGAGTGTAATCATTCTGGAGCAAGTTATTCAAATCAGACAAACACGAGCTATATCCCTACCAATGACGCTGTCTAGTGATAAGTTCCTTGCACCGGAAATATTTATTTATTATTTCGTTAAAGTTAAGAAATGAATACAACCTGGGCCCTTTCGAAAATAAATGAGTTGGAATAAATTAATGAGTTAGACACTTGAGATAAATGACTGTCTTTCCTAGTTTTTTATTTTTTTATTTCACTGCTAAAAATACTGATATTCTGTTTCCATATCGAAGAAGAGATCAAGTTTACCTTAACTCTGATTACCTGCTAAAGAAACTTTATCGGTTTTTTTTCTTAAACACTCCAATTATTGGCCCTAAAAATGACTCTAGTTGGCTCTGAATCAATTAATTGCTCTTACGCTTGAGTCTTATTTGACTCGATCTACAATGAAGATGTTGCAAGTGTGAGGAATTTGCATTTGACTGCTGATTCTTATGTAAAAGTTCGCTAGAAACACGATAGTGCCACTGGTTTTCTCTGAAATCAACTCTCAAGCTCAAAAAAAGCTCTCAAGTTGAGGCCAAAATTGAGGGGATATCCTACCCTACCCTGAGAGTCCACATCTACATCAAGGCAAACTCTCCATGCGAAGATAGAAAGCAAATACATTAGCAGGATTGCCGTGTTTTCAGTTTTGGAGTCCCCAAATAAAGTGGCAGCCCTGTCAATGTTTTTGCTCCCTATCTTTGCATGGAGAGTTTGTCTCGATGTAGAGGTGGACTCTCAAGATAGCGTGGGATATCCCCTCCATTGTGGCCTCAACTTGAGAGCTATTTTTGAGCTTGGGAGTTGATTTCAGAGAAAACCAGTGGCACCATCGTCTTTCTCGCGAACTTTTACATATAAATTATACTCAAATCGCAAATTCCTCACACATGCTACATCTACATTCAGTTTACTCGATCTTAAACGCGGGAACAAAATAAGTATTCTCTTTTTAATCGGTGTTTAGTCAGCATTTGTTTTTCTTTCTTTTAAATCTTTTTCGCCCCATCATTCCCTGACACCCAATTTTTTTTCCACAGAGATCGGTGCGAGAACCAGGTGACGCTCTCGCGGGAAGAGAGGCGAAGACGGCGCCGTGCGACGCAAAAATACCGCACGGCACACGCGACCAGAGAACGTGTTCGGGTTGAAGCCTTCAACGTAGCCTTCAGCGAGCTGCGAAAATTGTTGCCTACCCTGCCCCCGGACAAGAAACTATCAAAAATTGAAATCCTCCGCCTGGCTATCTGCTACATCGCTTACCTCAACCACGTTCTCGATGTGTAATCGGACGACCTTTTGCAACAAGGAACTACTATTTCTGACCCATCTATAGAAGAACCCATCTGCAAACGGAAACCAATAGTACATGCGATTTTTTAAAAATATGAGCTAGAAATAATAGATCCCTATTGCAAAAAAGAAGTCCAGTGAAATACGATACCTTTGACAAAACTCAACTAAAATTAAAGATTGTGCCGGACTGTGCAATATTTAGCAAATCGCTCTTCGCATAACCACTGTGTAAACCTTGATTTTCATTCCTAATGTTCAAGGTGCTTGTGGTTTTTGTCGTCATTCAATGATGAGCCGATGCCGATCCAGCAATTTGACAACACCGGATTTCCCCCTTTTAAACCTATGTTAAATAATCGATTCTATAGTCGGAGAACCTGGCCTCTACAAGAATCGATATATTTCCATTGGTTTAAATGGAGAAAAAACAAGGTTGTTAATTTGCTGGATCCGCTAATGATGATGAGTGTGACTATCCGGAGTCGAATGTTCTCCGTACAATAACAGCATACTTACTTAAATCTATACTTTCGCAGCCAATATGGACTAATCAGTGGCGTGGCGTGAATTGTGATATATCGATTGTTATGCCATTTAAACCTATGGTAAAGAATTGATTATGAAGGTGTTCACTGTGAACACTCTGTTTATCGATCCTTTTTCATAGGTTTAAAGGGCATAACAATCGATATATCGCAATTCACGCCACGCCACTGGGACTAATATTAAATATTACGACACTTTTTCTGATTGGGTGACGAGGTGCGATCAAGGTGCCTATGCGAAGGTCATAGGGCAAAATCATAACATCCCACAATATTCGGGAACTGGTGTTTTGTGAAGGAAATAACTTTTGTTATGTTCTCTTTTGCGTTCTTAATAGCTCGATTTTGAATTATCTTCGTCATTCGGACGCAACTATGCCGAAAAGAACAATTTGAAAATGACTTAAAACAAATAAGAATAAGCATGTGCATAGGGGTTGCATGCTGAGCAGTTCTTTTTGATTTGTATTCAATTTCAATTAGTTCCTTTCTGCATTATACTTCAATTTAGTCTTGTGGATCCTTTACTAAACCACGTTAAACTATATCTAGTCTTGTTTTCGTAGTATTATGAATACATTAAAATATTTACAGATCTAGCCATTAAGATATAAATTCTTTCAATTTTATAGTGTTTTTTACAATATAAATATCTACTTGTTGAATGTCTTGGTATAATTTATTTCGAACATTCTGAGAAAAATCTGTTTTTTCTACTTAAAAATGGCTCGATCATAGGAACAATGAATTCGTCTGATTTTAAAAGAAAAGCTATTACTATTTTGCGGGATGATAATGTTCTTTTTCCTCAAGGTGAAAAAAAGGAGTGGCAAGAGATCCTCGACGTCGTATTTATTACCATTTTTTACCGAGGGTTTTTTATAAACTGCAGTTGCACGGTATAATTACAATCTTATGTTCAACGTTTGGAGAGAGAGAACAAAGATTGGGCGTTCAGCGCGGTTGCCTGCTACATTGCGAGCCATTAGATTCGCCTGCAACTGACAAGATAGGCAGAAGCGGCTACTCAGGAGCTGTAATATTTGTATCCACAGTCAGTGACAGGCTGTGCTCTTTGAAGCCGTCCGCGTCCATAGATGACGTCGGTTTTTCTTTTAATTAACCCCTCCCCCTTCCTCCCCCTCCTGATGACTGTATCAAAGGCCTCTCCGGCCGAGCCAATTTTCGTTGATGTAGAATGGTAAGGCAAACATTTAATAACACAATTTTTAGAAAATATAATTTAGAACACTGAATAATCCATTTTAAAAAAATGTTTATATATCTACGCATACTTACTTTGACCAAGGTTTTCAGAAGGAAACCAACCAACATTCTCGAAAAAATTGAGTTAAGAATGTTTTCGAGCTTCACTCGTTGTTTATTTTCTTCTGCCAAAATCTAAAAGTCGAAAAAGAGAAATTAGTTTGTGAAAAGAGAGATTAAAGCTTATTTTCGGCATTGAGCCTTATGCATGCAAAAAACTTTAAACCTCTTTTCCTCGGTTTCAACATAATGTGGGTTGGTTCCTCTCTGATGAACTCGTTCTATTTTACTTTCACGAATCAGAAATCAAAGTCAAAACAAGAATAGTTTAACCTCTAAAATGACCTACTTCCAGTCAATTTTGCTTTCTTCTATTTTCAGTCGGATAATTGGCTCATCTATAGTTGCAAGCGAATTTACGGATGAATTTCAAGCGATAAAATTATCATATTTTTCTTCAAAAAAACGAATTAGGAGCGGAAATTTTGAAACATAACGCAACGGAGACACGTGGTTTCGCACTTTGGCCATCGATATAAAGATGTGTTTACAAGAGAGAAATAGGGGAAAACGTGTATCAGAACAGGGAAATGAAAACAAACTGTATCCGCTTAAGAGCGATTACCCTCGTTATTTTCCAATAACTGAGAGTGATAATAAGAGGCACTATCATGATCGTCTCATCTCCCGCGGCGGCGGGTCAGACCCACACACTCGCACCCCGGGGTAAACCGCCCTAACAAAGCGCGAAATGGTGACGACAGCGGAGGGTCCCTAATCAAATTACGAGCAAGTGTTTGAGATGTAAAACGCAATAAACATATTCAGACTCAATCAGGGAAGTAACCGATCTGGTAATTCGGGGCTGCACTCTCGCACTGTTGGAGGGCTGAGTTTTTTAAGCATCCGTAATTATTGATACGATCTTGTCGACTATCTACTGCCTGTTAAAAACTGAGGCGTGAAATTCGCTGCAGGAGTCTATACAGAGTGGTCCAGGGTTAAATGGCCAGACTGCAGGAGCCGAAACACCCCCAGACCCCCCTTCAAATTGAGTTTTTTTTTTTTAATAATTTATGGTGCGTAGCTCTAACTGGGGGCACTTTTGGAAAAAAAACTTCAGACGACAAAAAAGTCTTATTTTGACCCATAGAACATCTTCATGCAGTCCGGCCGTTTCACTTTGGATCACCCTGTATACCGCCCAAAAAGTCTGAGTGATATGAATGCGAAGTGAATTTAGCACCATAAAAGCGTATGTCGCTCCCCAAAAAGAGTAGATTCTACTCCGTGATAGTGTAAGTCACTCTATGAGAAGAAAAAATTTCACTCCGCGTTCATATTATTCGGGGTTTTTGGGTTATAGGGGTTGTATAGGTTCCAGCACATATTCTTACTCCAAAATTGTTAACGACGTGAACGGATTCAACCGATATCACTGAATCTTTAAAAATTTAATTTTGAAAGAATATAAAAGGGGGGGGGGGATCAACACCCAGGAATTGAATAAGTGATGCGTATTAGTCAGGTATTACAGCAAAGGATGGACGTGATTTTGGGGATGAAACTGCCCTGACCAAATTTCACAGACGAGAGAGCAAGCGACAAACAAAGGAGCTAATTCAATGCTTGAATGAACATGGTCAATACGTCTGGGACTTTACTCTCCGATTCGCGCTTTTGCTGTCCGTGCTATCATTAATCTGTGTCATTAGTCATTCGATTTATACATTTTATCAGACAAAAACGTCTTTCTAAAAATGTGTAAAATGGATGAAAATCCAGAACAGGAAATTGGCCTGGGGATGATGTTTAAATTACACATTGTTAATGGATGTTTTATCGTAAAACTTCATGTCGAAATAACTTTCGAAGGCGATAAAAAATTGTTAATTTTATATTACATATTTTGATATTTGAGATATTATATGTATAACGCAAAATGACATGAAAAATGACAACTCATTTCAATTTTATTGGAGCAGATCTTGATAGTGGGAGCCCCTTCAATTAGTGGATAGGCAACATACACAACACTAACTTGGCCACTTAGCAAAGGCCGACTGATCTCAGTTTCACGGAACCTCCCTGTGTTACTCTAACTTCTCAATGATTGGATTAGATTCTTACCAAATTAAGCACGTTAGCTCCTCATTAAAACTTTTAACGAAGCGATAAATTTGATTCCCTCTGTACATCAAGAGCGATGAATTAAAAACCAGTCATGTCCATTCCCACGTTTTCAAATCTTTCTTCTCGCTTTTCGTATGGGAATTATTCCATTAAGACAATTGAATTTTTTTGTGGTTTTTACTTCTTCTGCAGCGATATTAACTACAATGTTGATTAACATGCGTTTAATTAGTGTCATCGAAAAATAAGCAAGAATAACACTCGCAAAACGCGAAAATGAAGCATTATGCGCATTAAGTATAGAACAAGACACATCGACGATGGAACTCCCAAACCACGTATCTCGTTTGCGGTGGTTAAAAATCTCCGTTTTTATTTTCTCTTACTGTGGGAGCGAATCAAATCATTCCGTGAAGTTTCCGCAGAATTTTCTTCGTACAGAGCAGAAAAATCACGGAAATTTTAAAGGATGAACTCTGGGTGGTTTTCTTTTCAAAAAATAAAGTATGACTGGAGGTGCACAACGTCGCAAACTGAAATACGTGGTTTGGAAGTCTCATCGTCGATACTGACATACAAGTCACATATGGACGTATTTATGCTAAAAGGAACTATGTGCATAGGGATTGCGTGTGACATAGTTCCTTTTAGCATAAGTACGTCCAAGTATTATATTAATTTCCAATCAAAAATGGCAATGAACTTTGAAGTTCAAACCAGAGTTTCAAACCAGAATTATTTATAATGTGTCCAGGCATTTTACTGAAATCCTGACCTGCTTTTTTACCAACAACAAGTTCATGAGGGTATAATCGCTGCTCTGAAACTTTAGAACTTTAAAGACTCAACTAGTCTGTCGAGGACGGCAAAAAAATACGAGATTATAAAAATTTGCCAAGTATACCCTTTTTCTTCTTTTTTTTTTAGTCCCTCTTTTCTTTTGTTATTTCCCTTCCTTCTCTCCCTCATTCTTCTTCGTTTTGACGAGAATGTGCTCCCTCCGCCCAAAATATCGGCTTGTTTCACATCTTTTGTGACGAGAACTCGTCGAAGAGTATACCTTGGCATACGCCTTGCATGTAAAACGCCTTATGCACTCTTGATTGTTGTCAAATCTTCTTTGATGAAAAATTAATTTTTGGTGAAAGCCAAGAAATCTATGGCCAAAGTTCAAAACCACGCATCTTCTTTTGCGACGTTGCAGACTTTCTGTCATACTTTATGGTTTGCACAAAAAAATGGTCAACGTAATCCATCGAGAAATTACTTGATTTTTCTTCTCCACCGGCGGAGTATTCTGTAAAAATGTCAAGCTATCGTTGACTTGTTTCTCCTCGAAAAATTAAACAAGAGGCGGGAATTTTGAAACATTGCAATGATAAAATTTGGTTTCGCAGTTTCCGAAGACACAAACGGGTTTTGTGGCTTTCCATCTACACGTTTCCAGGCCATTTTCAGATACTTTATATGAAATCGCGTGCAGCATTCTCTGAATAAATTGGACTGCATTTTGCAATTTGGTACTATAAATTCTGGCTCTTCAGGAAAAACACTAAAGTGCATAGGGAAACTAATGACACATACGTTGTTTTTAAACCGGGCTAGAATTTATGGTTCCAAATTGTAAAATGTAGTCCGATTGGAAGAAAAAAATTCCTAAATTTCTCAGAGCGTCCGTGTTTTATTGAAGTCAATTTTGCAACGTCCAGAGGCTTATACGGTATTCTTCCTAAAACAGTGCGGGTGAGGATTGGATGAGGGTATCAGGTGTGCAAAGCGGATTCCTCGTCTACGGAGGCCATCAACGGGGTTTGAACACAAGTGCTCAGCGCTGTGTGCGCATGTCCTCGGCGAAGGAGGCAGGGAAAAGCTCATCTCATTCTCACCCAGCTTCAAAAGCTCCAGGATGGCATGCGTCGACTCTTGCAGCGACAAACCCATAAAAGATCCTCTGCTTATCGATTCCTGAAACTGAGGTGTCTTGATGTGGTTTTCCTGAACTTACCTGTTCACTTATTGACTGATCATTTATTCACTGTAGCCATTTCAGGCCCACGTAGGCACAATTGGACCACATTCTGCAATTGGACGTAATTCTGTCAAACGGAACTACGTGCATTTAGACATGAGCCCTGAGACTCATAGGAATATACGCATAACAGGGCTCACATCGTAATGCACATAGTTCCGTTTGACAGAAATACGTCCAATTATGAACCACTATTTCTAGCTCTCTTTAGAAACAACGTATGTGCCATTTATTTCCCTATGCATATAAGTGGTTTCACGGATGAGTCAGGAATAGCGATTCTAAATAATAAAATGAAGTCCAATTTACAGAGTGTAGTCGCTGAACTTTGTTAGAAACGAAAACAAGCTGCTGGTTCCAACACTACTGTGTTGGAGAGCTCGCCTTCGTGAAACTATTAACATGACAAATTTTTCACACCGCAATAAATAAACTGAATCATTAATAAAACAGAAGATAAGAGTGAGATAAGACAAAATACAATAGAAAAATGGTACAACGAAATTTATTGTAAAGTTGACAGGGAAAGATGAACTAGGACAATTATTGGCAATAAATTTTATTAGTGGATGTACATGGGGCATGGTGTTTCTGATTACTATCTGACACAGTTCCTGACAGTTTTGATGCCTTATTCAGCTAGATGTTGTTTCCACAAATTTATCAAATTATAATGCACGTCCACCTGTATATATGCAAATAAAAAAATAAATAAAATAAACAACAAACTCAGTTTATTTATTTATTTATTTATTTTTTTTTTTTTTTTTATTTGCATATATACAGGTGAATGGTCACTGAATTCAGTGTAATAAGTTTGAGCATTATAATTTGATAAATTTGTGAAAATAACATCTAGCTGTGATCCATATTGTGTTGTTACAGAGTGTGTTGGTAGTGCTGAATGAATTTCGTATTTAAAAATTTATGAATAATGGGCCATAATGAATATTGCCGACGATGGAGCGACTCTTCTAACAAAATGTTCACCTATGCCGTAGTATCGTTTTTGAAGCGGGAAGCTCAAAAAAACGCAAATTTCTTACGCAGATTGTGAAGTTATGAGTGCATTTCAGAGTTTTCCGATGCGCTCATCGTGATTTTTGAGGCATTATCTATAGGAAACAACTCTTATTTTTGCTCTAGCAAAAGTTTGCAACAGGCCCATTATTAGTCAATGTAACGCATATTTGCTCTGGTTATAAAATGTAAAACTCGGCAAAAAACGTACATCAACAAAAATTCTGTGACCAGCGCATTATCAGATCCAAAAATTTGGCAACATTGTTCTTTCCTCATTTAAACATATGTAAATGTATCGATTCCAGGAGGGGCCAAGTGCTCCGCCAAGAATCGATTATTCAACACAGGTTTAAATGGAAGGAAGGCAGTGTTGCCAAATTGCTAAATAGTAGCCCATTAATATGAGTACATATTACCTTGTACAATCTAATTTTTCAACAAAACTCAACACGAGTCTTTCACATAACAAGTAAATTTGAATCTGTAAACTATAAACCTTCTTTTCCTGCGGACAATCATGTGTAAAATTCTATCACATTTATTCTTCGTCTTTCACAAAATTATTAAGATTTATCTGGAAAGTAAGTATAGTACTTCGTAAAAAATAGGAAGAAAATAAATGAGTTCAAAAAGCAGTACCTGGTTTGTAGAGCGTCTCTTCATTTTATCGGAAATAGAAAAATTCAGGATGTCACTGTCTCATCGGAAAAGAAGGATTTTCCATTACACTCTGTAACCGAGGAAACTGGAAGATTCTCTAATAAGATAGCATAGAGATAGCAGTCAGCTGATAATTTTATCGCAACGGAACAGCAAAAAAATAGGACTTCAGTTTTTGAAAATGTGAACGGAAAATAATACATATAAATAATTTAGCATAAAGGTGAACACATACACAAACAAATTCGTGTTGGTGTGAGTCAAGTCTGCTCGGCCACCGGAAAGTGATGCTCTCTAGTGTAGCAAACGAGGAACAATTAATCCTCAGTTGAATGAGGGAACGGAAATGTTCGACGGAGGAAAACTGTAACCCGCGAAAATTCAACTTTTAGACCTTGAAATCAATGGGATTTTGGCCGTTCCTCCGACGGCAACGAGAACCATCCATTTGTCGCCACGGACACTACCAATGCTAAAAGAAATCGATCGCAAAGAGCTCTCCCGAGTGGGCGAGCTCAAAATGATCCTGAAATTATTGTGAAATATGAAGGAATCATTTTTCCCGGTTCTGAAGAAATGGTCACGGTCGATTAATGGGCAGTTAAAAAGTTTCACAAGTGAATCAGCGGGCCGGTTATTTAAATTTATAGACAAAGCTATAGACAATGAAGACAAAAATGATATGGTGGGTTCCTACTGGTGGAAGCGGGTGGTCGCAATGGACAAAGGAGGTAAGTAATAGACTAACTAACGGCAACCGACAAGAGACCCGACAGTTAGTCCATCATTTTCCCCCATAGTCTGTAAGAGCCATCTGTTTCAACCAATAGGATCGCCCCATACTCCCTATGTCATCTTTGTCTATTGCTTTGTCCATCAATTTCAATAATCTGTCCGCATGTAAGTTCAGGTAAACTACATCATTACTGTCCCTGTTAATATGGAAAAACTACTCACGTGGATATGCTTTGGCTCAATCGCGGAGCAGATAAGTAAAATGGAACGTACATACTCGTTAATTGGGAAAACTGAGAATATGTGCCGTATTCATAGGCGTTCCTTAAATAATAAACATAATTATCCTTTTTTTAAAAAACTCAATATAGTTTAGAAGATAATTAAGGGAGGTTTTAAAAAGGTTTTTACATAGCATCATAAAAGACAGCATCATAATATAAAATAAAATGGACCCTTGCAGGGTAATAAAACGATTTGCTTCTACAAAAATTAAAAACGCGAAAGTAAACATTTTGCACTTTTTGGAAATTTTAAGGCAGCTATGCACTTACCATGATTTTAAAATCGTTCGATTTTTTTTTCTATGGATTTTTTTATTTTTTGCAGCGATAAATCATTATAACTTTCCCCAATTCTCTATTTCCGAAGTTATTCTGTTGAATTTGGTCCAAACCTTGTTAAAATTTCTTAGAGAATATAGTAAGATCTATAATCCCTGATTTCAAAAAGGTAGTAAAATAGTGTTGGGTGCACACTATTTTGCGGGGAGGACATAAGGTCAAAAATTTCAATTAGATCTAATTGAGCTATATTTTTTCTTAATATTTGAGTTTGCCTTGCTTCGCAAAATAGTGTGAACCCAGTGCAATTTCACCACCTTATTACATACAGTTTTGGCCACATTTTTAGTGTTCTTTCCTTATTACTGATTTTATTGATCCTTTTTTTTCTCAGATTCACAATTTTTCGTGTTCAAACTTGTAACAATTCTTAAACAGTTAGTTTTCAAGATTCCACGTGTATTGTGTAACGGCGCAGCATTAATGTTTCTGTATCATTTTGTGAAGATTTCTCATCCTAAGTACGTGATTATTCAGCCTGACTCTATTCGACTTATTATACTTTTTTAAAAGTGTATCAAAGATTACGAGATTTATTTTCGTGGTGATTCATTGTATTATCAGTGTGTAGGTGTGGTGAGAATTTCGCCCTCAATAATAATCAAACCCTCCTTTTAACTGGAACCCATTTCAGAAGTGGCTACTCTCGTTTATCTTCAACAACGGACTTAGTCATTTGTGATTTTACGTAAGATAGGACAACACTTGAAACACGATCGAAACGGCTACTGAAATATTTAATGACAGTTCTGTTTAAATATGTTTGATTTGAGGCGCCTGCGGTTACGGTAAACCAGTGGAAATTCGTTTCAACTTGAGTATGAATCGTGAAACTCATCAACTTTGTAAAGCCATATTGTAAATTTTTTGAAACCGGTAAGGGTGTACTTGTCTTGTGGTGTCTATGTCGCAGGCAAATAGTGAAATCAGGAGTTTTTTTCAAATGCCTAGGCAGACAGTAAAATTTTGACGGTTTACAAAATTTTGTAAATTCATGACGAAGAGCTCACGAGTTTTCAATATTTTTGGAAGGATAACTCATGAAACTTACGAACTTTTTTTGTATCTTCCTCTTCAATTGCTTCTCATATTTTTAAATTATGAAATTCCGAAAATTCTGTAGTTCATGACATGCTGAAAATTTCAAGATAAATGGCTGCTCAGAAGCTAAAAATTGTTTAAAATACTATTGTGTGATGCAAATACTTACTAAGAATTTTTTCTCACATGCGCAATGAATTATTATATTAATTATTTTATTTTATGTAAAATTAGGGAAATAATCAAAATTTTCAACCAAGTCGGAATATTTGACTATTTGCCTAGGCATTTAACATAATGCCTGATTTCACTGTTTGCCTGCGACATCTATTATAGCGGCGGTGAAACTGAAAACCGCGAAGCTCTTTTGCGGCGTTTCAAAATCCCTGCTCTAAGAGGCCGAGCAATCACTACTCCTTGAAATTTTTGCAGAATCCTCTTTGCACAGAGAAAGACATCTAGGAAAGTTTATCAGAAATGACGATGAGTTTCTTGGCATTTAAAGAATGAAGCATGTCATGAATTTTTGCGTCGACGTACAACGAGATTCGCTTTTTTGCAGTTTCACCGTCTATATTTTTTCGATTCGTTAATGAGATTTTTTTTCCAAATAGAAAGTCCTTTTTCAGTCATTCTTGTCGTCACACAACGAAACGAGTCAATAGGAGATGGAGAGGTCCGACAAAATCTGAAAACTTTGAACAGTGTCGTGGCGTGTTTTGCGATATATCGATCGATCCGCCATTCGAACCTATGGAAAAGGATCGATTGACAGGGTGTTTGAAACGAACACCTTAATAATCGATTCTTCAACATAGCTTCAAATGGATAAACATCGATAATCGAGCATTCACGCCACGCCACTGACTTTGAAAGCTTACATTTTCCAAAATATGAGACAAAAAAGTTTGAATGTGATTCCGTTGGTTTTTCCGTGAAATTACCTTTCAGTCACACCCCTTAAAATTGAATTTGCAACAGTATATACATCAAAATTTGAACTTTTAGTCAAAAAGTTCATGTCCGAACTTTTTTATTGTCTCGTTCCACCGTGCAGTGTCCCTGACGTCATTCTTTCGAAGTTCTTATTGAATAATTCTATCCAAAAAATAAAATAACTTATGTCTCAATGATTTTATTAAAGACAAAATCCCTCATCTATGATGTAGGTCTAGAATAGTCTGTAACATACATCGTGAACAACGCAATGATGAAACAGCCAGCCTTTTTTTGAGACCCAAACATATTTTTAATCCAAATGCTTTCTGGGAAGTTGAAATTTTCTGGCGATAGTGCTTACATAGTATGCTTGGCTGCCCATTTTGTCCAAGACCATAAAATTAAAGCTAATCGCTCAATTTTCATTGTACGATCTCTTGATTCCACAATGAAAATGATGTGATTGATTAGTGAAAAAAATTAGTTGGTCAGTACTTTGAGCTGGTGGTAGACAGAAACTTACAATTAGCGACACAATTTTGATCTGATGTATATTTCAAGGATGTATAACATGAGACAGCTCGATAGTTTAAAAATTCTCAGTATTGTCTTTTGCCTCCCGTCTTCCAAATAAATTCCCCCTCGAATCATCGAACTCAACCAAAACTACCTTACAGCACATATAATCGCGAGAAATAGCACGGAAGAGGACGTCCAGTAATTTTTGAGTGAGCCAGTATTTGACATTTTCCTCTTTTCTAGAAACTATTGTTAAGCTGACAAGTGCGAATCATGGCCGTCATTTTTCTTCCATTGCTGGCGTTAGTGCATCAATGCATTGGCTCCGAAAATGTTGACGCGCTTTTAAAGAAGCGCCCGTCTTGGTCGGTAAGTAAGCGCTTTTAAGATTTATTTATTTTATCTAATATTTAAATTGACGTTAAGGACGTCGAAGTTTACTTTGGTGTTTAGTAGCCGTCAACACTTCAAATTATCGATGTTACTATTTGCAACGAAATTAAAGGAGTACATTTACCACTTAAGAGGACGCAGATTAAACCACTCGTCCCAAGAAAAGAAAATACATTTCGTCGTTTCTCATACTGCCGTGCTAAGGAAAAACGCCGTACTCACATTCAAGAGTTGCCAAATCTACCCACGTAAAATGTTCATTTTTGAGGAGAGTTATGAATATTTCCTCCTGAACATTTCAGATAATTTAGATTTGATATGCGAACTAAATTCTCTGAAAAATTCGGAGACATATTTCCCTGAAATTTCATATTTTGTTAAAGGAAACTTAGCAACGTCTGAAGATTCATACGACGTTTTTCCTTTGCAGAGTAGCGTTGAAGAAGGAACTTTCTATCCTAACTTAATAAAATTGACTCGCGAAATTCAAATTTTACAAATTTATAACAATGTAATTTCTGTTCGAAATTTCACTGATTTTTGCGTATAATCAGAAGAGGAATCGGTGAAATTTTCAATTAAAATTTTTGAAAATGTTCCTCGTAGAACATAATTTGCAACGTTGAAAAGTGGTTACGTGCTGAGTCAAATTTGGCAACAGTTGATGTAGCTTTGTTCTTTTTCGCTGAACGCGGTCCATTTTTTAGTGGTTCGTTGTGTTGTGTGATACTCAAAATTTCCCACTTTGCTAAAGTTGCGAATTCCATTTCAGTTAGAGGTGGAGAGTATTGAATCCTCGATCAAAAATGCTCTGCACAAGCACAAGTTAGCAGGACATGATTTTGAACTAACGGAAGAAATGTTGAGAAGCGATTTGAAAAGGAGTTTAGCCCCCGGTGCTACTCACATCCCGAGGAAGGTTGGTGATCCCAAATGGCAACAGGATCCGAGGAAAGTCCCTTCTACCTTCGACGCAAGAGAGCACTGGAAGGCGTGCGCTGATATAATCGGGCATGTTGAGGACGAAGGTCCTTGCAACACAGATGTGGTAAGTGTGGATGGAAGTATACGCAGACCTTTTGAGAAGTATATTGATCTCGAAGTGCGAAACCATGCATCTCCGTTTGCGAGGCTGTGGACTTCCTGCCGTTCTTTCTTTTTTCTTTGGAAAACCAGTCGACGAAATGTCTTGAAAAATTTCCTAAATTTTCTTTTCTGTTAGCCGAATCTATACTATAAGATCCGAGACCTCGTAAATTTGCATAAATGTTAACGCTTAGTTCCAACGTTCGACCAAACCGATTGTCATGATTTTTGCGATTATAGATAGGCAATTGTCTCTAGATGAGCCTCCCAAATTTTGAAAATATGACACAGGTTTTTTTATATTACGTGGTAAAGTTGCGAATTCTCCCAATTCGACAATGTAAATTTTTATTTTTTGTCACAGTTCGTTTGAGCGTTCTACTGGGCTTGTTGTCATGCTATTTGCGGTCATCGACAGGTGATTGTTCCTAGATGAGCTCGCTGTTATCAGACTTTGGAAATAGTGCCCGGATTTTTTTTATAAGAGTAGATCAGGGAGCTTAGAAAGGGGGTCAAATTTGAATTTTCAGCGATGAAAAATGGCGGGCATTTCAACTTTAGCTGAAAATTGAACAAAGCGCGATTGAGCAGAGGGGAGAATTTCATGATCGCCGCCGCCCGCGGCGCACTATGAGCCAACATTCAAGAATAGGAAGAAATAAGTCAGATAATGACTGAAAGATCACGAAAGTTTTGTAACTGGTGTTTTTAGAAGTCGCTAATTTTGAATTTGATATTGAATTGCCTACATTTTAACGCCCTGACCTAGAAATTGTAGGCAAGTTTATGGCACACTGCGGCTCAGCGCGGCGCGGCGTGCTGCCAGCTTGAAACGTGCACTGACGCCTACAAACCTAAGGGGATACTTCAAGCATTGCGCAATGCGTCAATGACGCCTACAAACCTAAGGGGATACTTCAAACATTGCGCAATGCGTGAGGTAGCCCTCTAGGTTTGTAGGCGTTGTTGCGCGTCCCGCGATGGCATCACGCCGTACCGCGCCGTCACGACTCTGCAGGCGGGCGGGTGCGAAACTATTTCTTGCGGGGAGATCTCCCCGGCGGAGAAACTCGTGTGTCGTTTAATTTTTTTCCCCAACTTTTTATTCAACTTTTTTTCAATTTTTTTTTCCAATTTTTGACTTTTAAAACTACTCACTGGTCGTGTGAAGTAATTAGTGAACTCTCAACGCTAGGTGAAGTGTAATGATGAAAGGAGGGTCGTGCGCCATGCGCGCTGCGGACGGCGCAGGGCGGCTCATGAAATTCCCCCGGTGCTCTGTAAAACGAAGTGGGACAAGTTGAATCTTGGTCTGTCAGTAGAGGAAAGTAAGTGAATCGAAAGTACGTTCCTTTGCTACTTACAATACATCCAAAAGCGACGAAACGCTCCGTTCCGTTCGTTCCGTTTCGTTTAAGTCTTGGCGCAAAGTTTGAAATAAATGATGACTTGTTTTCATCAATTCTTATTGGTCCCATCACTTCCGGCAATGGGGCAATGGGGAGTTTGGACAAACAAGAGTCGGGTATGAAAATCTTTTAATTTTTTTCTTTTGGGCGGGTTGCTCTTTTGTCGAAGCGGACCTATAAAAGAGCGCGAAGCGCCCTCTGGGAGTTGGGCCGCGTAGCGACCACGGAGCATAGCCCCCTGGTATTCAAGTACAGTTTCAAGCAATAGAATTGACTCTTCGGAAACATAAAATAAGAGCGAAAATATTTAAGCATAGCAATGGAGATACATGGTTTCGCACTTTGGCTATCGATATTGGCCAGTATTGCAGATTCACACCGTAGGACTCTCGCGCGTTATATGAGGACGGAGGAGCTATGAGCAGCCCATGATATGCACGATTTATAGGATGGAAAACAAATCTAAAATTCTAGAAACAATACTAAATAAATCCAAAACGTTCTGGGAATTCATTTTACCGCCTTCATAGCCTTGTTCCTCGCATAGCAGTTTTATTTTTCACCTTTTTGTACTTACAAATAGGACTGCATTCGAAAGAGATGAGACGAAAAACAAAGGAGAGAAAAAATTTTGAAAAGAAGAAAAAGACTAAGAGGACTCAGAAGAAGATGAAGTAATAGTAGAAGTAGAATAAGTTTATTTTTACGAGGTGCCTTAACATTGGAGGCCATTTCCTCCCTGGAAAAATGGATAGAAAAGTGTAAAGAGGGGGAGAAAATGTAAAAGGTAGGAGTAAAAATCAAGAACATGACTACTATGAACAAAAAATGAGTCGCATAATAAACTCAAACTTTCAAAATACGTTGATATTTACATGAAAGGACAAATTTGTTTCGGGAGCCTGACTGCTTCCATCCTCAGCAGGTGACCTGCAGATGGGAGCAGTCAGGCTCCCGAAAAAAAATTGCCCCTTTTTGCAAATATCAACGTATTTTGAAAGTTTGAGTTTATCATGCGACTCATTTCTCGTTTATCTTAATTTTCAAAGTTTGTAATCTCCTGTAAAAGTTGAACATGACTACTGTTTGGACCGCGTTATGCAGAAAGGAACCAAGCCACATCAGTTATTGCCAAATTTCACTGGGCAATTTATTTTTTTACATGAAAACGGTTGTGAGGATTTTCGTGCAAATTTCAGTGAATTTCCTGAATAGTGCGAAGCGAATTCCTTAAAATTTTCAAAGGAGTCCACACAAACGTGCTCTTGTAAAATATTAAATTGCCCGGTTTTTGGTAATAGCTGATGTGGCTTAGTTCCTTTTTGTTTAACGCGGTCCATTTGAAGATGCTGTGTGTTCGTCTATTCAAGTGGACCAATTTTGTGTTTCTTGCTGTTCCATGACGCAGCCAGCTGTCATTGCATCTGTGATGTCAGACCGTTATTGTATTTACTCCAACGGCACCTTCAAGGACAGGCTATCCCAAGAGGTGATGATGGGTTGTGGTGCACTCTGTACCGGTTGGCAAATGTCTTACTACGCGTGGGAATATGCTTTATATAATGGGCTTCCCACTGGCGGGCCGCATGGATCAAATAAGGTTTGAGTCTCGTTATGAGTGAAGTTATGCGAAATCTATATCAGCACCGGAAAAAAGTGAAGTTGATTTGGACTGCATTGGCTCTTCTGGAAAAACACTTATGTGCACAGGGAAACTAATGGCACATAGGTTGTTTTTAAACCGGGCCAGAATTTATGGTTCCAAATTGCAAAATGCAGTCCATTTAACGTTCTGTATGTAAAAATACTGTGCGAGAACTTATAAAATGCTGAATTATTACGAACATATTTTGAGCAACCGCAACCTTTATCAAATTTCAGAAATGAGAGACACGTCTACGCGCATTGATGACGGTGCAGAGATACAACTATTCGTGCTTGACGGATGTCCGTGTTGCATCTGCAAAACTGAAGGCGCAATGGAGCGAGGCGTAAACTCGCAATGTTTCGCTCTGCGTTGCCAATGAGATGACGCATAGATTCGGTCCATTGTAGAACACCCTTAATTATTACGTTCTTTTTTTTAAACGCAATTCCTTACCGATCATTTTTGGACTCACCGAAAAAAAATGAAGTTGATTTAAAATTCTTGATGTGGAAAAAGTGTGCGAGAAAATATAAAATGCTGAATTACCCGGAACAGCATGTTACTTTAGCAATGTCATGATGTAAAACTATCTGCTGTGGCGGGTAATTAAGCATTTTATATTTTCTCGCACACTTTTTTACATCTAGAATTTTAAATCAACTTCACTTTTTTTTCGGCGAGTCCAAAAATGATTTGTTAGGAATTGCATTTAAAAGAAGAACGTAAAAATTATGGGTGTTCCAGAATGGGCCGAATCTAAGCGACATCTCATTGGCAATGCAGAGCGAAACATTGCGAGTTTACGCCTCGCGCCATCGCGCCTTCAGTTTGGCGGATGCAACACGGACATCCATCAAGCACGAATAGTTGTATCTCTGCACCGTCATCAATGCGCGTAGACGCGTCTCTCATTTCTGGGGTGTAATAAAAGTTGAGGTTGCTCAAAATAATGTTGTTATGACTTGTATAAATCAATAATCATTTTGAAAAAGAAAAACACATTAACAGGTCTAGAAATCCGTATTTTGGCGAAACTTGTGTCGTGTCAAGGATTTTTTTTTCCTTTTTTAGGACTACCCCTACATATCTCACGCTCAGTCTAATTCACCCGACTATTTCCTTTGGGTTTGTAACATGCGAGAGGGGTGGTTAAGAAAGCGTCAGTATGCCACCAAAAAGGTGAACATTTCAACAACAATAAAAGTATTTTCTACCTTCAAAAACATCGAATTAACATGCGCTGTACTTCAAAAACTATCAAAATCAATTTATATGAATATGGGTCAAGTTGACTCGACTTGCGGGACTCACCATTTAAAAAAAGTCTTGAGGATTTAAGGGTTCATTCCATTCGTTTATTTCCTTCGTAATAATTACAATGCGCACAAATTGGAAGAGATTTATTCTATGTTCATCTTCATTCTATATGCTTTCGTTTCAGGGCTGTGCACCTTACTCCTTCGCTGGGTGCAATCATACCGGATACTATGACTTGACAGGTTCCGGACAGAAAATGGAAAGTTGCCAAGTTCCATTTGATCTAGAGTGTCCCATGGAATGCACTAACAAGCACTACAAAACACCTCTTGACAAGGATTTGAGAAATTGTACGTAAAAAATAAAAAAGAACAAATTTAAAACCATCCATACTATAAGCTCCGAGACCTCCTAAGTTTGCGTATCTGGTAACGCTTTGTTCCAGCGTCCTACCGGGTCGATTTTCATGATTTTTGCGACTATCGCGGGCAATTGTCTCTAAATGAGCTCGTCTTATTTAGATTTTGAAAATATGACCCAGGTCTCTTTATATTACGTGGTAAAGTTGCAAATTCTCCCATTTAAACAGTGTATTTTTTTTATTTTTTGTCATAGTTCGTTTGAGCGTTCTACTGAGCCGATTTCCATGATTCTTGCAAGTATCGACAGGTGATAGTCTCTAGATGAGCCCGGTTTAATCAGAATTTGAAAATAGGACCCAGGTTTTTTAATATTAGAGGGGACCAGAAAGCTCAGAAAGGAGGCAAAATTTATGTAAGCGGGAAATGTTGAATCTTGGTCTGATTCTAGTAGGGTAAGGTAAGCAAATTGAAGGTATACTCCTTTGGCTACAGACTGTATCCAAGAGCGACGAAACGCTTTGTTCCATTTGCTTCGTTTCGTTTCAGTCTTTTTTGGTCGTTCTTTTATCGAAGCGAGCCTACGAGAGCGCGAAGCCCCCTCTGGGGTTGGGCCGCGTAGCGGCCAGGGGGCATAGCCCCCTAGTCGATAATAAAGATTCAGAACAATTTTTAAGAGTTTTGAAGATGCAAGACAGGTAAATGGATCACTAAACAAGGTGTAAATTCAAGCATTATGATGTAATGTTCCCCAATCAAAACACGTGGGGCACGATTTGTACCACGATAATCATTGAAAGCAACAGACTCCTAACCAAGATATTAACGTTTTTCAATGCATAGATTCTAACTTCCCGCTCATTAAAATAGTTTCCAGTAATCTTTCCAGTAATCTTATTTTGTTACGACTTGTCTGAATTTATGTAAGAATGACGAGCAATTTGTACATAGTTTATATCATATTTAACTAAAAAAAACTTTATTTTAATTTACTTCTAAATTCTTTCTTTAAACTTTCTTTATTAAATTATTCCATCAAATTAATTTCAATGTAATCCACTCATAGTCATACCCAACCCGTTTTAGTGCGCGGATTGATTCAAGTAGACTCTGGTTTCTTTTGTCGGCGAGATTCAAATTTCTCATTACCCGTGCTAAAAAAAAGGGTGAAATTTTGAAGAAAATATATACGTTCTCAAAAATTTGGTCGTGACTTCGTTTCGTTAAAACGCCAGTATCATTGTAAGCATGCACAACAGAGTCTACGAGCGCACATCTACTCTCAATCTAAGAATAGTACTGAATAGATCATTTTTTTTGCTTTTAAAGTAACGTTAAATGATCTGTTTTTTTTTGTTTTTTTTTTAATTCTTACAGTGACGTGTTTTTACTTCACATCGAACAATGAGTTTGCAATGCGGAATGAGATTATGACTTTCGGCCCGATCATGTCAAGCGTATTCTTGTACAATGATTTCCTGGAGAAACCTAAAGGTAGGTGTCTGTAAGCAACTATTCACTGAATGTTCTCTGCGTAACGCTCTGTAGAGAAGGGGTCTGAGCCTATGTGTCACGGATGCATTACGGGAGCATAGAAAGGGAAAGGGGGGGGGGAGGGGGGAG